AGTCTTTGCGGCGTAGAGGCCTTTGCAGACCGCGAGAATAGCTCATTGAGTTTGGCATATAGCTCATTCACAGTGGGAAGGTTGGGAGGCGGGGTCATGATCGCGGGTGTTTGGGGAACGACGCCACTCGCTTTCTTCGCTCGATCGGCGATAGTGGCAAGGTACGCTAGATTGGCTTGTAGGCGTCGCATGCACTCAATATATTCGGGGCTCGGCTTCTGATTGGCTTTGGATGCGTCGGGTTGCTCCGACGCCGGTGAATTTGTATCGGGGTTGGAGGCGGGGCCAGCCTTGCCGGCCGCTTGAAGATTCACCACCTCTTGCAACAAGGCCGAGTTGATATCGAGGAGGGCCGTGACGCGGGCCTTCTCACGCGCCGCAAACTGAGCTTGAGCTTGAGCTTGGGCCTGAACCTGGGCCTGGGCCTGGTTTTGAGCCGCAGGTGAGGCACTAGTTTGCGGCGAGTTCATTTGCGAAGGGGGTTTGGGCTGTGTGCCGAGTAGGTTGTTCGCCGATATGGAAGCCATGTTTTGAGAGAAGGTCTGCGCGACTTGAGATGGCATGTTTGCGCCGGATGTGCCTTGAGGTGGGACAAACTGGCCCATGGGGGTAGGAATGGGAGCCTGGGTGTAGGGCGCTGAGAAATTATCCATAGGTGTTGCTATTATGATGAAGCATATGATTAGCCCAAGGTATTCCAACAAAATTAAGCGACCTGGATAGTAGACAACGGGCGACAAGAGACAAATGTTCAAAGCCAGACAGCGCTAAGAATCAGTGTAGCGGCATGGCCAATTTTATCCAAGCCGAAGGGTATTAGGGACAAGTGACACAAGCACGAGTGGAAAGAATCCAATACGATCTTGAGCCTCATGGGATCCCTGCCCTTTCCCTAAGAATTTGGGCAACAATTCTACCCCGCCAGAGTAAAAGTGACAGGTGCGCTGGGCCAATGATAACAAAAAAAAGGGGAAGGGGGAAACGAACCGGAGGATTGTTGGGGAAAGCCAGAAGGCATCAGAGCTCCACCAGGACCAGGCTGCATGGGCATAGTACCAAAATGTTGAGCGGAGGGTGTCTTTGATTGGGGGTATGATGGGACGGCGTTAGGGTAAAATGGCATCTGTTGATTTTGGGAACTTTGTGTCGGGACGGGATAGCCTGCGGGATAACCAGTATTGGGGTCCATAGTGTAATGAGGGACCATCACGGTTGAGGGGCGGTTCCAGGTATTATTTTTCGCCCTGTAATACTCCTTCTCCTCAGCGATCCCCTTGATTTAGGGAAGCTACTGTGGCTGAATTACGCAGGCCGCACGGACGAGACGGTGAAGGCCCAACGGCGCTTGTTGACCGGGAATCCAGGGATGGATAAGGTGAGATTTGACGTGACCCCGAAGCTGCTAGAAACCAGAAAAAAGACAGTGATGATTGGCTCAGTCAAAAGGCAGGGATGTATGGTATTGGAAACCCGGCCTTCACAGCGAACTGGGACTCGGGGCAAGACAAATTTTGGTGCCCAGATTCAAAGGGATCAGCCGTGGGCGGGCTAATGCAGCGGAGCCCTTTTGGAATGGTGGAGACACAGGCACGAATGATGATGGAATGATAATGGCAAGATCTCAAGTTGACATGAAACTTGACTTCGTGATTCAGATCAAGAGAGTACTTGATGTATATCGGAGAGAGTAACTGGCGTCCACAATGAAAGTGACATCGGAGGGTCACGGGGTTCGATATTTAATGCCTCAGGCAATAAAATATATTTGCCTGAAATATATGGTGGAAAACCATTGTTAATTTCGACATCCAAGTTCCTTTCCCACCATACAGAAGACTAGTCGGTTTATGATCCCTTCAAATTTGACCGCATAGGAATTGAATCATCTCAATACGTTTGATATAAGTTTGGATACTATAGGAGATGCTCCGTCCAAGATATTACTGCCTGACCTTTCTGCCTGCATTCCTTTTTAATTTGGTCGAGGCATGCTACCGGATACTCAAGAGTCGAGGGGAATCTTATAAAGCACATGATTACATGAGATAAAGTGGTTGTTCAAGGGTACCCTGTCATGACCGACCCACAGGGTCCCGCCTATGCCAGCTTTGATAATTGCTTCCTGCCCTCTGATATTCCTCTTATTCCTAATGACACTCGCTACCCCACGCAGGCAACCATAATCATGCCTCTTACCGCCATATTGTCCATCATGTGGAAATGAGGTACTTTGGTTGTTATTCCTACTGTCATTGGACTTATCCCGCGACCGACGGCTCACATCTACGAGGCGGTGCGGGAAGAACGCTGTCCACGGACTTGAAGTAGCCGAGTTCCGCGGCCAGAACGCCGAAGGGAACGAGCGTACTAAAAGTTCTTTCTTAATTAAGGTTAGGGCCTCGTTGTACATCTACTCCGTATGTATGTATGTACGGATTACAGAGTATGTACATGTGTATTTGCCAGCAGCCGCTTGGGCCTGGCGATCAGCATTCAGGGTCCCCTTCAGCCACAGGGAACTGGGACACCGTTGTACACGAGAAGAGGGGCTGGAGCGCTTGATGTGTTCTATGAGACATTGACAAACTGGCCAGACTTGACGTGTCAGGGACTATCATTTGAAGGTCATGGGTGTACACAGAGTATGTCGAATTCTAGGATTGACAAAATCCCCAACCCTGACGTGTCAGGAACCCCCAAGCGACACATCAAGTAATATATTTTGACACTATAGACGATCCTTTGGACTTTTTTAAATAGCCAATCAGTGTCTCTGGGCTCTACCACAGAGGCATGTGATCTCGTGCAGCGTGTATGCACTGTAGGGGATCAAAGGAAAACATTGCAAAGACATGAAAGTGAACGAAACCTAACTTTGACAATTCTGTGCTCGAGGTCGATTGGATAAGTATACCTAGAAATACGTTGTGCATGCATATTCTGCACGTATATGCAACAGGCTTAAAGGGGGACTGTGGACCACGGCGAAGCGTCATCTGAACGCCACAAGCTAGATTAGGGTCCCGATTTCCAGGAAATGCAGGTCGGATATGCGTAATTTATGCAAATAGGATAATGGGGTTGGGCAATGGCGTGGATTGACAGCCTATTAGCTTGCCAAGATCTCGAGCTGAGAGTATCCAATCCAATGATTGTCATCTAGGTGATCCAGGGATGAGTCCAAACTCTAAACTCAATCTCATTCCCGTCGATTTACCGTGGGACAGCCATATATCAGATGTCCATGTGGCTGAGGCTAGGATTATAAAGAATTCATTTGACCCGGAGTTCTGAGCTGGATGTTCTCCGGTATGATCATTGCCTATCTATGTCATTGACTGAGAACACAAGAATATGGTATGTTCTCTGAAGCCTATGAGGATTCCCATCGGTATCAGATACACGTTCCCCCACAAGATACCTAGGGGACCATTTCCAATAACTGAGCCTATCGTGAATTCAAAGAACACTTCCACCAAGTTTTAACCGAACAAGTTCATATCAGACATCTATACTCCATAGATACAGTCTATATATCTACTCCATACTAGTACCGGATCGTATGGCAGATACAGCGTGGCAAATTGAACCATGGCTTCATTATTTGCATTCTTTAATATGCCAATCCCACTGCCCCTTTCAGACGTCGATCCAAAGTGTCCCGTGAAGTTGATGCTTCTCAGACGAGACCGAGATAATCCCGCTCGGCCGATAAAAATCGAACGGTTCCGGTGTCTGATTAGCTTCGTATTCCACAGATTACAACATCATGCCTAAATAAAGATATGTATGATGTTCTCCAAGCCTACAACATACAAATATGAAGACCTCGGGCATCTCTAGAGTGTTTGCGTACACCAAGCCTGTGTCCTATACTAAACATGGTAAACAGTGTGACCCGGTACTCTGGTCAGCATTCCCAATCTGTGTTTTAGCCCGTATAAGTAAGGAGAAAGTCCTCCGTATGCAAAGGTACATACAACTTCGGGAATATTGGGCGCAAGGCAACCGGTGAGCAGTCCGCCTCAAACGTCCCGCCGATCATCATCTCATTTTACATGACATTTTCCATTCACGTCCAATGCTAGTCTAGAATATCGGTGCTTTTTTTTAAAAAAAAAAAAAAAAAAAAAAAAAAAACAACGTACGTACTAAGAGTAGTGGATTCTTTATCCATTCTTCCTGTTATTGGCTTACCGAATCTATATTGATATTCATTATCACATCTCACTAGGCCCATGGGGCTGACTATTATTCTCATGCAACACGGCCTCATACATTACTTATCGTGCGTCTGGCATATATATTACAGCAAGACGCTCACGGTGTACTCCGTAGAATATTCCAAGGGGACGCGTTCGAAGCATTTAGCCACTCCACCCCACATCGAACCGTTGATAGACGATTGAAGCCAAATCTCTGCAATGCCAAGTTTAGATAGAGAGTGTTATTCGGGGAATTCGTTTGCGGCTGTACACGATATTCTGATAGGCCAATAATCTGGAAAATGATTCCACATTCAGATCAGGCCCTAAAATACTCCGCAGGTCTGTTTCGATACTGTATCAGTTTTGGCGCTTTGTAGATCCGTCTTTTCCTCTTCTCCACAGGGGGTTTGTCTGAAGTTGGGTCTCTCCACTTCAGGCGCGCTATAGTTAGCTAACTATACATACGCAGTGAGTGTGCCGGAGCCGAGAAAAAGGTCTAACTGTTTATAAATTCATGTGTAAGCACATCGTTTCCGCACTCACTGATCGGCAATCGAAAGCTGGCAAGCATTGATATTGTGTGTGACCACAAGTCGCAGCATGGTCTTCACTTTTCTTTCCCAATTTTCTTTATAGAGACCCCACTTCTTCTGTTTCCCCTTGTGAGGAGGTAAACTTGACAAGTTTGTTAACCTCTACGAAATCTGGGGTCAGCCTTTAGGTCCATGCTATAGGGTATTTATAACCCTTTCATGTGATCGATTTCGACAGAACTCTAGGCCCCCAGAAAAGATGTCCAGGCGATCACCGGAGGAGCATGAATATGCCCACTTTGCTATAATTTACATAGATAGGGATGGGAATCTTTGCCAAAGGGCCTCCGAGTCCATTGCAGAGAGCCGTCAGACCATCCTCTCTCCTAGGGTCACCAGTGAATTCCTCAGAGCAGTGGCGATGTCTCGCGAAGCCCACACACCATCTCAAGGTAAAGTTTCTCTCTACCCCACATAAAGTGTTTAACTGATCAGGAAAGTGTCCCCCGAGGTCCAAGTGCCATCTAGCGGGGCGTCGCAGGAATCCGTGGCATACAGTGGAATGAGCCTGGGCACTCAACAGAGAATGCCACTGCTAACTCAACCAGAATCTCCATTTCGGTCGACAATCTGGCCGCCAAGCGAGTCCTGGTCTTTTCAAGCCAACCCACAACTCAAGAAGAATTTTAGAGGTCGGAATCTGGACTTGGCTTCACAGCAAAGGGCCTCAATCTCCGTAAAAGATAAGGGTTTCTTGCGTCTATACTATGAGAAAATTTTCCAAAACTTGCAACAAACAAACTGTCGAATCATCGCTAAAGCCTACATCAAATTAGTCGAACCACGCAAACAAGTGAATTACCCATACAATGGACGGAAAATCGTGGACGGAAAGACTCAGCAACTTGATCCGGACGCAACTAAGCCACCGTGGTGGCCCCGTGGAGTGAGCCATAGGGAACCGGATCATCTTCCAAAAGTTGGTAAGGAAAGAACTATTCCCAGTAGAACCCTACCAGGCTGACAATAACTAGAACGCATTCGACTTTTGGTATACATTCTTTGTGAGATGCGCAAGACCCACGGAATCACATCCGCCAGATTAAAACAATGCGACCAGCCCATTCGTCGTCAAATCCTCCCGGTCGAGCGTTTACAGATCCTGGACGAGGCATATCGAGTTCGCGAGGAGGAGGAAAGATTTCTCGATGGGCTTTCAGGTACATACTCCCAGTATCTTCCGAACCCCCTAAATACTCACATGTATCAGATGGAAAGCACGTGTCTATATCTCGCGCCAATCTTCCTCAAACAGCAGAAGACACATCCAGCGGACAAAGCTCGCCAACCGAACCAGCCTCTACCCATAATACCATCGAGTCCGAGTGCAGCGACGGAATATCCAGCAACGACATAACCCAAGTCACCTCAGGAGACCTCCCGAGCGCATCATCTTACAATCTTCCCAATCCTTACAACCCAGCAATACACTTGGGCCCAAACATCCAATACCATTCCGTCGGCCCTTCTACGAACACGTCAACACCCCCATTGGAATTGCGACCAAAACACGAACCACTATCTGATGGGACGCATTCGATTGATCGGACACACCCCATCGGCCTGGCAAACTATCCATACCCTGGCGTTTCTGGCATTCAACCGTCACCAATGGAGCTCTATGGTACATCTGATTTGCCCCAGGATGCAGGTGCTCCAATCACGCAGAGCTCGACAGGAGCTTTGCCAACAGAGCCAATGATCCCATACGGCCATCCCTACTATTTCAATTACTGAGCACCTAAGCATGGAAGAGCGGAGCATATATGATGTCTTTTCTACGATAATGAATATTGTTCATGTTGCAATGGAGCGAGACAACTTGAACTTGTAATGAATTGAGCCGGAGTTTATGTGAAAAAAAGAAAAAAAAGAGAAAAAAGAGCTAGATACAAAGGTGGATGGACACAGACCAGCCTAGTTCCCCTTCGTAACCAGGAGTCATTGTCCTATTAAGACCTACAGACACTGCGAGTACCATTCATTGGCGACTTTACAGGTCCCACTTGCGCAAGTTGTGCTTCCGGTCCAGTTCTTGCCACCACACTGTCCGTACAGAGGGACACCGGTAGCACTACCACCACCGGAGGTAGTCGTGGTAGTAACAAAGGTAGTGGTAGTGGTAGCGCTAGGGGCCGAAACACCCAGACCAGCCAAGATACCCGCATAAGCGGGCTTCTTGACCAAGTTCGCATCCCAGGGAAGTGCATCACCCTGACCAGTGAATGTGCTAGGAACCCACGAATACTTGTCCGTGTAATCCCAAATAGTAATGCCAACACACTTGGCATTTGCCATACAGGCCGCGACGGTATTTTGGTAATCAGTCGACTGCTTGGCGAGCAAGGCAGAAGTTGATGGCAGAGTCATACGAATGTCGAGTTCGGTGTAGGCAACCTCGACTCCCAAGGCTGTAATCGCAGCCAAGTTGCCAGTCTGCGCACTCTGGCTAGGGGTGCTTCCGACAATAAAGTGTGCCTGTAGACCCACACCGTCGATCTTGGCCCCATACTGCTGCACGAGCTTGACGATTCTTTGGGCACCGGTTGACTTGGCACCGGGGGATTCGATGTTGTAGTCGTTGTAGTAGAGTTTGACATCTGGGTCTGCAGCAGCTGCGGCCGCAAAAGCGATGGGGAGGTATGCTTCGCCGATGGTTTTGTAGAAGACACTGTCACGATATGTTCCATCCTCGTTGAGAGCTAGTAAATTAGGCGTTAGCTAATTGATGATGATATCAGTCATTACCATGTCTGTGGCTTATGAGTTACCTTCGTTGACAACATCCCAGGCATAACATTTGCCTTTGTAGTGAGTGACCACATTGGTGATATGGTTCTTCATGGCAGCAATCAGAGTCGCGTTGGTCCATGTGCCACTTGAGACTGTCCACCAATTAGAACACTATCACATGTATTGAAAGACAGGCGAGATAAGAAAGGCTTACCCCAATTAGGCAATTGGCTATGCCAAACCAGAGTATGGCACCGCAGCTTTTGGCCATTTTTAGCAGCGAGATCGGCAACGACATCTCCTTTGGTATAGGAGAAGGTGTTTTGGGACGGTTCGATTGAATCCCACTAGCGACGATTAGCGAGGGAATTGACAGCACGGTGAAATTTGTCTAACCTTCTGCGCATTGCCAGGTGTAATTTGACCAAAGTCATCTGTGTTGCTCAATTGGGCGAGGTATGGAGCATCAGTCAACTCGGGGTTATCAGTAGCTGATCCAAAGTATAGCTTTCCCTTTGCAACAGCAGCATTATGCAAGCCAGCTCCTTGGGTTCTAAAAGAATGGGTATCAATCACTGCTGAAATTATTGGAGTTGAAAGATCAACCATACAGTTGAGGAAGAACACTGGCCAATGCCAGGGCAATAGTGGAATAGTGAACCATGACGAGGTAACCAACGCCGATATATGAATTGATCAAAATATAAACCTGGAATAAGGAATCGAAAGGATCAAGCTCCTTTTATATTCGGGGAACAATCGCGACAGCCAAATTGTCAGGGTGGACATTTTCAGCATCTACCCCAGCGCTCGGTAGTTTGGTCATTTGACGGGCCGATAGCCCGTGCCATAGTTGTCGCGGCCATTTGAAATAGTTAAATGGGTTTGGTCACTGCTTAGATGCCTAAAAGTGTGAATTCGTGCATGAAATTCATCACTTTAGCCTGGGAAATAGACTCGGGGACGCCACCTGATGAACATAAAGAAAAAAATAGAGCGATGACGGAGGAAACTCCGTATTTTCTTCACGGCAAAAGAAAAGGGGTGTCATATTCCCCATAGGGAATAGAGTGAAGCCGAAGAAAGGGCTAAAAGATGACCGGGTAAATGTCTCCACATAAATCCGGGGAATCTTCAAGTCAACTTCTCAACTCTTGGCTAAGCTTGGAAGTATGAGACCGTCGAATCAGAATCAGCTGATTCAGGGCCCGGGAGTGCACATGACAAGCATTCAGGCTATCCCCCTCTTTTCATGGAACATTAGCGCTGAGCATACAATCATGCAATCTCGTTCCTACTACCCGGCTCAATTGACCCATTAAAAACTGCAGAAGGGGGTTGAAGCTCCGGGAAATCCCTCGAACTGCCACACCTATTGATTTTCTAGGAAGAAACATAAGCTCTACTGCGACAGACATATTGTCGGCAATCGTCTTTCTTACAACATGTGCATGTGTGGCGGGGAACATCTAGCTTCAGCTACACTTCTAGGATTTTGTGCATATGAGCTAGGCATTATCGGCTATTGCCCTGGGCCGACTTCATCCGATATCCCAGAGTCCTTCCAAGATTTTCCACAACATCCGATGTGACCGTGTACACTGCATATTGATCATCAATCAGCGATGCAGTTTGTGATCCACATCGCATGGTCAAGGTCATTTCATAAAAGCTATGACAAATTTGCGTCAATACTAGGATATTTCCACTTAGGCTTAGGTATGTTGGACTATGATCAATGGCCCACTGGACCTTTTTCCTCCAGAGGAGACGGAAACCCCTCAATGATATCTATAAAAGTCTGAAAATGCATCTATGTACACAAGGCTGGCGCTTTTGAGGGGTATCAGATTTTATCACATCATGTTGATCCGTGGTAGGACCACAGGCCAGAGTCAACAGTGGTTAGTAACCACTGTCATAGCCAGATCCAGACCAGCAGGTCAATGGACAGGAGGGAAGACGCCCTTCCCATCGGTGTGATGATTTTGTGGACGCATATTCCATAGAAATGCACGGGATCGGTCGGAAGTTGATGAGCGGCGGCTTCATATGAGTGAGGAACCGCTCAGCCAGTCTTCCGAGCCTTCATCTCTGCAATGTATTTACCGGTCTTGGAGAGAGGCACAACATGGATGGTGACAATCTCATCCACAACTTCAACCTTACCACCGGAGAGAATTTGCAACAAAGGCAGCTTCTTGCCAGCCTTGATCAAACCACCAGTGACAGTCTGCATGAAGCATTCAACACCTTCAAGGGAGTACTCTTTCTTGGTGTCCCAAGGAAGGGGGAAGATGTACTCCAAGTGGTCCTCAATGGCGTTCATCTCTGAGAACGCCTTGATAAAGTCTGACTGGGCCTCCATAGGGTAGAGGAAAACGACCGGGAACTCGATTGTGCTTTCCGGCGAGAGAGGATCAGGGACGAGACGGATCTTGGCATCCTCCAGATCAGGAGGCTGTTCGGTTTTGCGGGTTCTGATCATACGGGCGCGCAGAGCTGTGCTGAGGACCATATTCTTCTTGCGCGCCGTTTCTTCTTCGGCTCTCTTTCTCGCGGCAGCACGCTCCAAAAGCGCCTTGCGCTCGGCAATCTTCTTGGCAGATTCCTGAAGAGCCTTACTCTCCGGGTCAATGGCCAATCCTCGGTTTACGGAATCTTCAGCCTCGGCGACCTTGTCTAACTTGAACAGTGCCAAGGAGGAGCGATAGAAGGCCTTCACGTTTCTGGGGTTGAACTTAAGAGCGGCAGCACAGTCGAGAGTACAAGAACGGTAGTTTCCTGTAGTTCAGATCTATTAGTAAATGTCTCGGGTAGCCAGGAAGATGAAACATACCTAGTTCCAAGTTGCACAATGCCCGGTTGATGTAAGACGCCTCCTCTAATTTGCGCAACAAGGCCGCCTCTTCCACGGGATCTTCAGGCGCCTCCCACTTATCAACCTTGGCGTGAATGACAGCAAGAGCTTTTGAGTAGAACTCTTTAGCGTCAATCCACTTGAGTTCCTGCACGGCTTCATTGCCTTGTCCCTTGAAGCTACTTGCAACCTCGCCCCTGGTACCCTCGTTCTGCAGAGCCTGGAGGGCATCTAGAAGCACATTTTCACCCTCTACAAACCGAGATCTATTAGTCAAATGAGACGACCATGTCTAGAGAATCATTCAACGTACTCTCGTCACCCGCATTCTCAATATCGGTCATGAACAAAGGAGTCTTGTTCATCATTGCCATCAACTCTTCCGACGAATGTGACTGAACGGCCGCAATGGCCGGGGGAAGTTCAGGTGCATTGGGATCGGTTTGGCGCGCCTTCAGTCCAGCCTCGTTGATCGGGAAGGGAATTTCGTTTGTAGGAGCAAAAAGTCAAACCCAGGCTGGGCAACCTCGGGTGGGGCATTGTTGAGGTTAAGCGCCTCATCGAAATCATCTGGAAGTTCTTCGATACGCGACATCTTGAGAGTTGGTCGCAGAAAAATGTATTGCGCTTGATTCGGAGATCGTCCAGATGCTTAGAAATGATGCCCGCAATGCAAACAGTGCAAACAAGAGGGGCCCTGATCCGCCCTAAGCCCTATTACCGGATTAGTCGGGATGCAAATTGAGACTCAAAGACGTAAGATTATCATTAAGTAAGAAGGAATGAATGGATCAAAACACAGGAGAGTACTACCGAAGTCCTGGAAGATTTTTGGGTCAAATCAAAATATTCCACGATGTACTGGACGTTTCTAGTCGGATAATTGCATGTGGAGAGCCATATAGTGCCTGAGGCCTCAACTTTTGATAGCCTTCTAAGGTTAGCAACCTATCAATTTGTTCCTTACTGTTTGGTTATCTTCCACTATATCTGCTTCACTATTGGAATAACGCTACCACAACACTTCTATACCAGAAAATATAGCATATATCCCCTATTTGCTACCAGGCAAGCTATTCTACTATGCAATGATAATACTAGCAGGCAGTGCTGGACACTCAGCCTCATTTTGTATACCATCTATATAGGCAATCCCCACAACTAACAGCTCCACAGAAATTAACCTACATGCCTCCTGGGTCCTGTGACAGATCTCCGCACATCGGAGGCTATGTCATCGGCGAAAAGCCGACCAAATGAAACCCCGCATCAGTCGGGTTAAAGACCGAGCTCCGATATAGGCCATACATAGCCCTGGGTGCTGATGGTATAAGAGTTGATTGATCTACCCCAAGTATTACGTTGAAGAACCAAGTACTATAGCATCATGGTCAAAATCTTCAACATCCTCGTCCTTCCCGGCGATGGCATCGGCCCGGAAATCATGGCCGAAGCCGTCAAGGTCCTGAAGGTGTTTGAGACACCCGAACGCAAATTTGAACTGCGCCAGGAGTTGATCGGAGGTTGCAGTATTGACGCTCATGGCAAGTCTGTGACCGAAGAAGTCAAGCAGGCAGCTCTGGACTCAGATGCAGTACTTTTCGCTGCAGTTGGAGGACCGAAATGGGATAATCAACGTCGGGGTCTTGATGGGCCTGAGGGAGGACTACTCCAGATACGAAAAGCTATGGATATCTATGCAAACCTACGCCCATGCTGCTCTACCTCCCCGAGTGCTTCTATTGCCAAGGAGTTCAGCCCGTTCAAGCACGAGGTTATCGAAGGTGTTGATTTCGTGGTTGTTCGTGAGAACTGTGGAGGTGCCTATTTCGGCCGCAAAGTCGAAGAAGAAACATATGGTGGGCTAGCCTGAGATCTAGCCGCAAATAAGTAACGAACTAATCTTTTCATCTTCTACAGCGATGGATGAATGGGGCTACTCCGAAGCCGAGATCCAACGCATTACCCGTCTATCCGCAGAAGTCGCACTGCGACACAACCCCCCCCTGGCCTTTGATTTCACTAGACAAGGCAAATGTACTGGCTTCTTCGCGACTGTGGCGTCGAGTAGTGGACAAAACCATGGCAGCCGAGTACCCGCAAGTGAAATTGGTGCACCAACTGGCGGACTCTGCGTCATTGATTCTAGCAACGAATCCACGATCCCTGAATGGCGTTATCCTGGCTGATAATACCTTCGGCGACATGATTTCTGACCAGGCTGGTTCTATTGTGGGTACCCTGGGTGTGTTGCCGAGTGCTAGTCTCAACGGTCTGCCTGGCGATAAGGCGCTGAAGACACGACCTTACGGGCTGTACGAGCCTACACATGGATCTGCTCCGACGTAAGTGCTAGAAAAAATGATGAGAAGGCTATTCTAACTCTATTATAGTATTGCGGGACAAAATATTGCCAACCCGGTTGCGATGATTCTCTGCGTCGCGCTTATGTTCCGATACTCTTTGAGCATGGAAGATGAGGCTCAGCGTGTGGAGGATGCGGTGCGCAAAGTCTTAGACTCAGGGATTCGGACGCCTGACCTTGGGGGTAAGGCTGGGACTAAAGAAGTGGGCGATGCGATTGTGTCTGCACTATAGAGTATAGTAGGAACGAATATATGATTTGACTACCTATGGATCAATGATTGCTTCAGAAGACAAAGCCAAAGCATATGTATCAAACGGGTGAATGAGAGAAGAAAGAGATCAAAGGCAATGTTTGTTAGTTGGAAACTGGGGTTGAAAGAAATTTAGATAATACATTACACGATTTCATAATTCTTCCAAGATTATAATTAGATTGACATATTCGTGGAGATTTCTATTCTCCTTCCATTCTTACCCCTACATATGTCTAAGATTCCACATCCGCTCCAGCCCAGAGGTTCTGCACCTCCACACAGTCCGCAAGACGAGTCTCTGACAAGAAATCACTCACTCAACATGTCATCCCAAAATGAGAGCATCCCGAACACCTCATCTACACCGGCGATGGCACCGCATGATTCAATCCAGATACCAAATACACCTGGATCCTGCGCTTTACGTCTCGAAAACCTAGTCAACCAAACCTCCGCCACGAAAGGCGAGCTGATGGCATCAATTGCGGCAGACATCTGCGCAACATTCATTAGCATCGCAAAGCACTCCGAAGAAGGCACACTACAAGCACAGCACACCGGAGTGATCGACAAGGTGATTCAAACTATCCGCGATACGGACGTGAAGCACCGACACATGCTCCATCGACAGGTGCGTCAGCTGAACAAAGAGAAGAAGTGGATACGGAAGAAGTATTCGCGGTTGGCTGGACAGGCAGATGGGTTGGGCCGCACGTATCAGACGAAGCTGCGGAAGCTGACGGTCTCACTACGAGAGGCGCGTGGGGAGGTGGCACGTCTACAAAGGGAGCGGGATATGTTGCGGGATTGCTTGAAGAAGAACGAGACCCCGAATGACAATGTCGATGGGGAGTTCGAGCTGGAGGCGGAAGAGGTTGATGGAGAATACGAGATTGCTGAGGACGGAGATGGAACTGTGAATAAGTAGATCTTTGATCTCAGTCTATCAGAATGTTTCCCAGTTGATTCTTTGTTTGCTTTGAGTTTCACGGGAAATATTCTCTTTGTTTGAGCTTGACTTTAAGCGCAAAAGAATTCTGACTTTTCTCAAATATGACACCCACGTCATCTGTATCCTGCAAGGAAAGCAGTAATAGGCGTCGGATTTGCTTATAACCATTAGAATGATATCTGAACCTCAAAAGTCAGCTTTTGAGTTCCGAGGTTTGAATCGGCATTTGATGGCGAATGTGATTTCATTTCCAGCGCTTGTTTCAGTTGATTATTGTCGTGCGAATTTCTTCAAATTTCAAATCTAGGCCATCGGAACTGATAAATGCGTCGGAAAATGTCGCCACAATCACAGAGTCAGATAGTGCATGTCGTCCAAGTCCAACCTCGGCATCTTCAATCGGCGCAGGCTGATTCGGCCCGCGGGATCCACCGACTTCCATGTGGAAAGTCTGGGGGGGTCCCTTTTTCTGCTTCTTTTCTGTTCCCTTTCTGTTCTTCTCTTACTTTTTCTCTTTCTGATCTTCAATCCTTTCACCTAATCCTCTTCCAAAGCTCCCATCTCGAAGCCGACGTCGAGTTTGTTCAATTTCTTCCCGAGAGATCTACCCCGGACCGCGTTATCGGCCGAAAGTAACAATGAGCACCCACGACTACGACGCCGTCCGCAAGGACATCACCGACATCTTACAGAAGCCCGGTTATGATGATGGCAGTGCTGGACCTGTCTTCGTTCGACTCGCATGGTAAGTAAATGTGGTTCTCAAAACCTTATCGTTTCCCGGTCGGGGCCCCGGATCACCGGCGGTGATAAGCCCTTTTCAACGCAAGGTCGCTGACAATAATTTCAAACAGGCACTCATCTGGTACATACGATGCCGAAACCGACACCGGTGGTTCCAACGGAGCCGGCATGCGGTACGAAGCCGAGGGCGGCGATCCCGCCAACGCTGGTCTGCAGCACGGACGGGCATTCCTAGAACCGATTAAAGAGAAGCATCCCTGGATCACCTACTCTGATCTGTGGACCCTGGCCGGTGTAGTGGCTATCAAGGAGCTTGGTGGACCCGATATCCCCTGGCAAGGCGGACGAACCGATCTGGTCGACGACAGCAAGCTGCCACCACGCGGACGACTGCCAGACGGAGCCCAGGGCGCCGACCACCTGCGCTTTATCTTCAACCGCATGGGATTCAATGACCAGGAGATCGTAGCGCTGTCGGGTGGACACAACCTAGGCCGGTGCCATGGCGACCGCAGTGGATTCGAGGGCCCGTGGGTGACCAACCCCACGCGATTCTCCAACTCTTTCTTCAAATTGCTGCTTCAGCTTGATTGGAAGCCTCGCAAGATGGCGTCGGGTAATACACAGTTTGTGTATGAGGATCCTGATGCCGAGGAGGATGAGGAGCCGTTGATGATGTTGCCGACTGATATGGCGCTCTCAACGGATCCGGCATTTGCTCCCTGGGTCAAGCGGTATGCCGATGATAAGGAGTTGTTCTTTGATCACTTCTCCAAGGTGTTTGCCAAGTTGATTGAACTTGGTATTCGACGTGATGCTCAGGGTGCCGTGACCAATACTGACGGTACTCTTGGTGGATATGTCTCGGCACCTAAGAAGAGCAACACTGCTACAGGCCCGCCCCGAGCGCGTCTGTAGAGTGGCATGTTTTGTTTTGTTTTGTTTTGGATTAATTCCCCACTTGGTAGATCTGGGACTGCAGAATGCAGGCTTTAGACGTGTAAATAGATCATAGAATGTGATTAAGATGAGTGTTGTACTGTGAAGTTGAGATTAGAAAGGAAAGGGGAAGTCTGGGAGTCCGGGGTAGTGCGGGGAAGTGTAGTGACAATGTAACATGACTTGCATTAATATACACAAGTATACAGTATACATTAAATACAGCAGACTTATGCATGTTAGCAGGTAATTATAGAATTGTACTATTAACATACATGTATATTGTACAGACTCGGGCCTCGGGTATATCAAATAAGAGTCCCCTGATTGGATAACTACAACATCCCGAGGTCAATGGTGTATATCGAATGAACTAGATGAACTAGATGAACTAGATGAAAAATAGATAAACATATTATATCATATTTCAGCTTAATCAACTTCGTCAACTTCATCTGTGTCGCTATCACCAGGCTTCCATGTTGGATCATTATCTTTCTTCCTCGAATTTCTCAACCCGGCTCTTCGTGATATCCTCGAATTCGGCCCTTCCTGGTTATTCTGTTCTTCCCGTGGTCTTTGCTCTTTGTAGTATTTCTCTTTCGCCCATTTAGGGTCTTTTTCGAGTAGTTCTTCACTTTTATCTTGCTTTTCCTGTTCCCTGTGTCTCTTGAGCTCGAGCCCCTTTTGTCTTTCCCGCTCCTCTTTCCTCTTTCGCTCAAGTTCTTGTCTTTTCTGCTCTTCTTTCTCCTTTCGGTCATGGTCCCGTTGCTTTTGCCTCTCTATTCGCTTTCGGTCGACTTCCTCGTTTCCCTCTCGCGACTCTTCCGAATCTGCATCACTATATCTCTTCCTCGAGCTGTATTCATATGTCTTTTTTTGTTGTAGGGCCTGCTTTTGCGTTGGACCTAGGATCTGCTTTGCCATAGCATAATTCTGCATCGCGGATCTCCTGAGTTTGTTACCGTGCGTACTGTCAAAATGTCGACCTCGAAGCCCAGACATGGTCTCCTCTACATCTAGCATGGTAGCATCTGACCATTCAGTGCCCCTGGAATTTCCCAGCTGGGGCGATTGAGGCGACATGGGCAGCTCGGGGAAATCCAACGCCCCTTCCTCACTAGGTAAACCTGAAGGCCACATCTCAGGATGCTGACCAAGCCAGTACGGGCTCTCCAGCATTGACTGAAATATATGGTTCTGGTTGTACTCCTCGGGTGCATCTTTATTAGTGTTCGATGGGTCCCCAGACCCTGACGAGATTAGCATTGAGGACAAGTCGAATTCCGGAGGTGTGGTGGTGGAGAAAAGAGATGGATCAAGGAGTGATGGATCAATAACTAATGGATCCATAATCGCCGGGTCAATGTAATCTTGGAGCACAGAGGGTACGGCAGGCTGTGTAGCGGCTGGTTTGGGGGGTGAGTCCGATCTTGCCCAGCTGGGGTTAAAGTTACTGAAGCGTTCGCCGTTGTGTGAAAGTATACGAGGCCATGGATCCGGCTGTCGTGGAGGATCTGATCGCTTCCAGGGAATGTGTTGTTCGAGAACATTCTTGTTCTCGAGCACGCAATTGCCCAGCTCAAGCATCGCGTTGTTGGCCTTTGTTAAAAGCTCGGTGGTAGGATTCATGATGCGCTCATAGAAAAGGAGAGGAATAGCGTTACGGTGGAACCATTCGGGGGGCACTTTCTCTTCCGGTTGAAATGCTGGGATTCCCCCGATCATAACCCCGGAATTGATTTGGCTGTCGTACATCATGATATTTCCATCGTCTTTCTCGCCTCGTTTTGTATCTGTCCAGAATAAACGAGCATGAGATTCATTGTTATAGATACCTCCAAGCCAACGATAGTGTGCAACCTGTTGCTTGTCCTCATAGTCTATATAATTGAACTTGAGATTCTCCGTATGATTTCGAATTCGCGTCTTGATATCAGAAGTTATCACCAGACGCAGCGGGAGTTGACCAATCTTTCGTTCCCCAATGACTCCCATCGGATCACCACACTTATCGCATTTGAAAGACTTGCGTGAGTAGAAACATCGCTCGATCAGCACATGTAGATCTACTCCGTTTTCATCACCTGCCAGATAGCCCGGCAAAATGCAGGACCCTTGATGGGAATTATAGAACGGAGTGCCGAACTGACATTGGCAAGGGGTCACTCGCTCAACGTGGTGATAGCGAAACTGAGCGAAGCTTTTTGTGGCCACTGACCATACTGCCCAAGGAGGAATTGGTTCTCCCATCTTCAAGCCGCTTGAGCTATCGATAAACATCTGGAGCCACTCGTCACGCACAAATATAGAGGTCTTATCATCGAAAGTCTCCCAGCTCGCCATGGTCACTTCAATGAATGCTTTTTCGAGAGTTGTGAACTCAGCTGCCCGATTGTGTGCGCGATCTATCTTGGTACAACCGGCATCGAGTAGCATTGCCGCTACAATAACGGCATCCGTGGCACAAGACATTGCATTCCAGATAGGGCCACGGCCCCGCACTGGGAACGTAGTGCCATTTGGATCCCAATCAAAAGTCAAGGGCGATAATCTTACAGTCGCCGTGGTGGGGAATGATCCAAGTTTCATTGAGAGCAGATCGTTGTAGGACTGGGCGGTCCCGAGACGAACAGGTTTGTCCATAGACGGAATACTGGGATCGCGGTCCAAATCAGCATACACAATCTGCATCACAGCTCGTTCTATGGCGTCTGTAATTTTTCGCGTGTTGACCGGGCGTGAGGGTTTTGGGACAATGGGGCTCAGTTGGTGCTTCCCAATGGGGGCCACTTTAGATGAAGGTGCCAGACTAGGCATCCAGGTGAAAGTTGTGATGTCTTCAGCAGCAAAGACAGGTTCTTGAAATGGTGGGGTGGGAGAACGAGGGCGACCTCGGTAAGCAGGGGCACCGGGAGAAATTTGTCTCGGACGCTTGCTACGAGGTTCCTTATCTTCATCTGCACCCCGTTTTTCGCCTGGTGCAGGGCCTGGTAGCTTCGTTCCTGGGGGATCGGTCAGGGAATAGGCTGGTGTGAATTCGACTCCTGGGTTCATGTGTTGTAGCAGATTGATACGAAGAAATTCGTCTTTCTGGACTTCGAGTGTTGGCGCCGGAGGTGGGGGAGGTGGAGGTGGTGTGAACAAGCTGTCAGCTGAGTACATATACTGTTGAACAAGGTAGTCGGGCATGTCTGGCGGCGCGTCCATGGGGCGTATATACGCATTCATGATATGTGTGCTCACATCCGGCGCAGTATTGTACCACCTACTGAGTGGCTTTGGGCGCGGTTCAAGGTCATATTTCAAGAGTCGTGGCCCACTATCTCGGTTAACATTGAGCATTTCTATCCAAGTCTTCGGACGATGGCGTTCCTGCATATAGTATATGAGCTTGAACAGAAGCATCTGTTGAGACCTAAGAGTTGGCCTCTTTCTCGTCGTGGTGGGTGTCTTGTGCGATTCCTCATAATGAATCCCCCAGAAGTAATGCTTTAACAAAACTTGTAACTGTGGAAGCCTTAAGGCACGACTGTGACCCTCTGCAATAGCTTTGAACTTGACATTGAAATGTGACCAGTCATCGGGTGGATTGGGAAGACGTGTAAAGTCGTAAAGAGGCAATGGCGGCGGTGGATGCTCGAGATCCTCCGGCTTCAATGGGAAATCGGAAAGGGGAGGAATCTCCAGAGGAGAAGAGTAAGGATTACTCATCTTGACGTCCTGGCAGTGAAGGTATCAAGGTCTAGAGAATTGCCACGATGGGCTCAATCAAGAGCGGTATTCTGATATTGGGTTGTCCTATATTTGAGGAGCTTGGAGACCATCAACGAAAGGGCGAAACGGTGCGGACCAAGCGCTTTAATGGACAACGAGGAACATCCATTGTCCAACATGCCGGCTTGAATGCCATCTTTGGGAACCGAAAGAAATAGGTTGGCTTATTGTAGGTAGTAAGCATGAGATGAAAGAACAACTCGAGCGCCCCCAATTGAATACCTGTGGTAGCATCTTGTTTCTTGATAAACAAAGCATGTGGATTCCAGGCCAGGTTCAGCAATCCAAACAAGATTAGGGCCAGGGCAGCATGAGCGTCGGGGAATTCTATATTTGTCACATTAGCCTGTAGTTTCTTGGTTGAGGTTGGACCCAGATATCAAAGAAACCGGTAAAAATAGACAACGACTTTTGATATCAACGCCAGTAGGGTTCTGATATTCCTTTCACAAAACAAAGAACATGAGCTTCATCAAGAATCTTTGAATCACATCAAGTTCGCATAGATCGAGGCCCCAGATCAGGTGGTACGAGATGTTGTGGCCATGTCATCTTGTTTGGGCGAGGGTAAGCCTGGTCCAATTCTAGAAATGCCGAATAGTGCGGAAGCGAGTAGTATCAAGGCAGGATTCCCTGGTGTGTCTCCCGAAGCTAGGAGACTCGACACTTCTCTCATTATCGGACCTGAAAAAAATGCATGAACCAAGTATTGTATGGGCCTACGGGTGCCATAGATTTGGAGACGCGATCGAATCACTCAATTAAAGATAGGAAAAAAACCAAAAAGGATACGTGGATCAAAGGGCTGATGCCGCCACAGAGAAACCACTATATGAACTTCTAAAAAGATTATTCGAAGCACAAAGAGACACTTCGAAAGTGGCTGACAACTCCAAGAATTGGGTTCGTCACAGTTTCAGGTCGAGGAAAACAAAGCCGTCTGTCAGGGCTTCAGGTAAAATACGCGTAAGTAACACACCACATTACCGGAATCTAACAGTGAGATATATGGTCATGTGATCTCACATGATCTGCTCTAAACTTCTAGCCTCTTTAGGTCTAGCCCCGAACAAGCGAGCCCTCGTCCGAATAAGGTTAGCGCCCCAATTACCCGATCCCACAAGCAAAGTCACTCAGTTGGACTTCCTCTCTCCATCCCTCTGTCGACAACCCATCGCGATCCTCGCCCATCGCCCATCATGTGTACGTGACGACCCCTCCTTTCAATCTGAGACCATTCTATGATCTACAACCACGAATTTGCCAAAAGAAAAAGAGCAGGAAACGATGGCAGAGACGACAGTTCTCGAAATTGAATGTTGGCTAACATGTGGATTTCTCGATAACAGCGCTCGTGACCGGCGAGAAGACGAACTTCCAGTTCATCTTGCGTCTGCTCAACACCAATGTTGACGGCAAGCAGAAGATCATGTACGCGCTGACCCAGATCAAGGGTGTCGGTCGCCGTTACTCCAACCTGGTCTGCAAGAAGGCCGATGTCGACCTCACCAAGCGGTACGTTCGCCACAACCCCCATCGAATATCCAATCATTCCCATGCATCTGTTATCGGAGGAGACCTTGAAAGAGACAATGGCGCAGTCTGGACCTGAATCGACACACGGACTATATAGAGCCGGGGAATATCGCACAACAATCGCAAAAAAAAAAATTCTACAAGACCAGCAAAGCTGACAAGACACTTTATATAGTGCTGGTGAGCTCACCACCGAAGAGCTCGAGCGTATCGTGACCATCCTCCAGACCCCCACTCAGTACAAGATCCCCTCGTGGTTCCTCAACAGACAGCGCGACATCACCGATGGCAAGGACACCCAGGTTGTCTCCAACGGTCTTGACTCCAAGCTCCGTGAGGATCTTGAGCGCCTCAAGAAGATCCGCTCCCACCGTGGTCTGCGTCACTACTGGGGCCTCCGCGTCCGTGGTCAACACACCAAGACCACTGGCCGCCGCGGTCGCACCGTCGGTGTCAGCAAGAAGAAGGGCTAAATTATTCTGTTCGTTTTTTTGCCGGGGGTTCTTGGAGGGATTCCGTTATTTCCGGTGTGTTTCTATGGGCAGCACTCGTGGGATCTTTTCCCCGCTGGGCTGGACATGATCCAGTTCAAAAAATTGAAAATGAACCATACCAATGAAATGACCCGATCTCTTTGATTCATGTACTTTGCTCTTGGCCTTGGGTTCAATGGGATCATCAGCTGTGCATCAAGATGCCAACTCGATGATCCTGTCTGACTCCTCGGCCCTCGTAGGGTAGTATGTCTTGCAAGACTCTGTGGTATGCCTCGGAGAATACCTTGCTGTGGGGAAGATGTCCTAGACCGTCAGTGTGGAATAAGGCCGACGCCACTCGATCAATACTCTGGGGTATTCATATCTATATTTGTGCCTATCTACGCCTATCAGAACACACCCTCACCCATCGATGGATGCCCGTACACGCTACGCACAATGTTACCTACATCCCAAGCTTCATTACGTAGTATACATATACTCTTTAGAATTGTTAATCATTCGATGTTCAAGTCTATCCAAGATTGATTGAATTCAAAGTTGCCTATTTGTATATAATTAGCCAAAGCCAAACCACCCAACATCAGAAGGAGCACAGATGACCAAGTATGCGGCCATTCTTAATTTCCCAGTGTTAGGTGTCAAATTGTACGCAAATAATCAGTCACAAGATCAATAAAACGCAGTGTAATGATGAGTTCATCAACGCATCGTATCATAGTGGAACTCGGTCGAGTGTTTAAAACCACTCACCACCGAGCCAGCGGTTAAAGAACTCCAGACTAGACTCGGGCTGGTCCATAGGAACCATGTGGCCACCGCCGAAGATACGCATAAAGGTGAAGTTGCCGTGGGACTTGATCTGACCGATCTTCTTGCCAACGTGCTCGTTCTGCACAATCTTGAGGTCCTCAAGCTCAGCGGAAGCGAACTCCTTCTGACCGGGCCATTCAAGAGCCTCGGACCAGGCCTTATTACCAAGCCAGTTGCAGATGAAATCAGCATCACCGGCGTAGATGAGGATGGGGATCTGCTCAAGCAGACCGGGCACGAGGCGGTGGTAAGGCTTGAACCAATCGCCATTGAAGAGGAAGTTACGGTTGATGTCGAAGTTGCATGAGTCGTAGCCATCGACCTCAGCACCGACAGCCTCGCGCACGCTCGCCTGGCTGAGGTACTCGCTGACGTAGCCCATGCCCTTGTAGCACAGGTTGCTCTCATCCTCGCACTTGCCGCGAACATCGTAAACGTTCTGGCCGGTACGCTGATAGGGGCCAAGCATGGCATTGTTGCAGTAGATCGAGGCGGGGACGCAAACCCAAGGGCTCTCGCTGTTGTAGCAGGACTGGATCATGCTTTGGCAACGGCCAAGGGAGTTGTCCATGGACTGGCAGGTGCTCTCATCCAGAACAGCGGGGTAGCCACCCTCACCGCAGGCCATGGGACGGTAGTACTCGTACTGAGTAAGACCGTCGGTGAGACCATTACCGATGAGAACAGACTTGAGGTTGATGTTGCGCTTCTTGTGGGAGAGAATCTCCGAAGCCATGACAGGGATGTAGTGGCCAGCGTATGACTCGCCAGCAATGTGGAAGTCCTGTGTAGCGTACTGGGGGAATTGTTTGAAGAACAATGTGAGGAGAGCATAGACGTCCTTGGCAGCAGCAACAGTGTCGCTGACGGAGGACCCACTGTAGGAGTAGCCGACATTGATGGGCTGGTCCAGGAAGATCACAGAGGCATTGTTATTCCACGAGAAATCATTGTAGATAGGCTTGATATTAGCACCGATAGAGCTGGGTCCAAGTTCCATGAAAAGTCCGGTGAGGGACGAGCAGCCGGGACCGCCGTTCAGCCACAGGACAACGGGGTCGTTCTTGGGGTCATTGCGAGACTCGAAGAACCCTTTGGGATGTTAGATAAATTCTAAAGAATAAGAAGATTCTCAAACTCACAGTAAAACAGGTGCTTGTCGTTCTCGTCGTCATCCAGGTAACCACTGTACTGCTTAACACCAGGATCGATGCCGAGGGCACTGGGGTCAACCTCCTTGGCGCGGAGGTTGTAAGCTTCCAGCCTGCCATCAACCTCACGCTCCTTGGTGCCCTCAGAACCGGTGACCCAGATGTCTTGAACATCGGCGCCACTGACATGGTAATCCCAGTGCGAGTCAGGGCGGCGGGTGTGCTTCTTGGGTAGGGAAAGCAAGGGAGCGCTTTCCATGGATTCGGGGAAGTAATTAGAGACTTCCTCCCAGAGTTGACGAGCCTCGCCAGAAAGAGACTTGAACTGGTCCTGGAGGTGCTGCAGGGGCTTCAATGCATCCGCACCCTTCTGGACCAGGTTCTCCGCATTCTCCCTGTGATCTCCCAGGACCTGCTGGAAGGATGGGGCAGCAGCCGAAGCAGCTCCCGCCCAGAGAGTGGCAGACAGGACTCTCATTGCAAATTGTGTTTGGGCTTCACAGCAATAGTGATGCTAATGATGAGTTATTGATGAGGAGCGGGTACCTTGGGGTCTGGAGTCAGGCACCTCTTATCAGTAACCGCTTGCGGAAATGGCACTCAAATGAACCAAAGGAGATAATCACCTACACTTTCAAGATACCACAAGATAAAATGATAATTGAAATGAAGCTGAAGAGTTCGATGAAGCAAGACGATGATGTCCTGGCTTGTGAGATGAGGAGAAGCAGGTCCCAAGGGCCGATGACGCCGGGGTCGGTCGATAAGCAGAGGCGGGCCAATCAGGTGAGCGCTGTGGCCCAAGAGGGGGCCTGAGCGGGCCCAAGGTCGGATGATTCAGCATGAGTCACGGGATTCCCGAGTCACGGGATCCAATTACCTTGGCTGGAGGGGCACGAGCTTGTCGATTAAGCCTTTTTGGGTAGATTTCCTGACGCAAATCAACTTTTGATAGTCCAAACTCAGTCTACATATACTCCTTCGATCAGGACAGTGTCATCCATTTGGAAATATTCAAAAACATATCCGTGAATTAGCGCCACACTTCCTGGTGTCTGATTTTTCTTACATATTGATGCCATCAGCCCCCAGCGGCTTCACACACCAAAATGCCTATCAACCAACCCTCCAACCAGATCAAATTCACCAATGTGTCGGTAGTCCGACTAAAGAAGGGTACGCATCTATTTTATCTATGTTGCTGTAATCTTTCTAAATTCTTATCTCAATTTAGGCAAGAAGCGCTTCGAACTCGCCTGTTACAAAAACAAACTACTCGAATACCGTTCCGGGGCTGAAAAAGATCTCGATAATGTCCTCCAAGTCCCCACCGTGTTTCTCTCCGTCTCCAAAGCACAAACCGCTCCTTCAGCAGAACTAGCAAAGGCCTTCGGCACCGGTACGCCTCGAGAGGAAATTCTCCAAGAGATCCTCCGCAAAGGCGAAGTGCAAGTCGGCGAGCGTGAGCGCAAAGACATCCTCGAGCGCGTGGAGAAAGAAGTACTGGATATCGTATCAGGTCGACTAGTCGACCCCTCAACCAAGCGCGTGTACACAACTGGAATGATCCACAAGGCGTTGGATCAACTAACCGCCGCCAGCGGACAACAACAGACCCAAACGAGTGGGGAGGCGAATGGAGATGGCGAGGAGAAACCCTCTCAGCCGAAAAAGCCCCTCTGGACAGGAGTTTCGGCTACCCGCTCGGCGAAGAGTCAAGCGTTGGATGCCATGAAGGCTCTCATTGCCTGGCAGCCTATCCCCGTTATGCGGGCTCGCATGCGTCTTCGTGTGACATGTCCAGTGTCCCTGCTGAAGCAGTCTGTCAAGACTGCTCCTGGTGCTGCGTCGAATAAAGAGAAGGATGCCCCCTCCGGTGGCTCAAAGAACAACAAGAAGGGGAATAAGGGATCTAAGAAGTCTGCGAAGAGGGACGATTCAGACATTGAGGCTGGTCAGTCTGATGTGGAAGCTGCGCCTAAGGCCCCGAGCACCGTGAAGGATAAGATCATGGCCTTTATTGAATCGATTGAATCGCAAGAAGTTGTTGGCGGAGATGAATGGGAGATTGTTGGATTTGCTGAGCCTGGTGCATTCAAGGGATTGAATGAACTGGTGAGTAATGAGACTCGCGGAAGAGGCCGGGTTGAGGTTTTGGACATGTCGGTCACCCATGAGGATTGAGTTATGACGTTTGATTTACGGGGCTTTGCTGTACATGATGTACCGATATGACTGATGACAAAAAGTAAAAAAGCACTTTCGAATATACCGGATTTTGATATACCATCTCATTCTGTCTTAGGGCAATGCGTTACAACATAGGGGTGAAGAAAGTACATTATGGGAAAAGCAAATACGAGTGGCAAGTCAAACAAGGACATCCTACGGGGAAGGAAAACATACATGGCACTAGGCACAGCTTTTAAAAAAAGTCATCCAATATAGTAGAGCGTCTCTAAAAAAAAGGCAAGGATCTCAAGCAAAATAGCCTTGGAGCATGTCATTTGAGGAACTCAGTATGATACAGTAACACGTCTAGGGTATAGACAAATGAATCCCAGAAACCCAACGCCGTGAATGTAAATGAGAGAGATCTGGGGTATTCCCAACAAAGAAGAAAGCAATTATATCATGACTCGTATTTTGTGCTCCTAGAGCAACTCAGATATCCAACCCACGTATGCCAATTTTATCACATCCAGTCACCATCAAAACCAAATTCTTACCAGGACCAAGCTCTCTAGCGAGATCGAGTGCCTTGGCTACCGCGTGACTCGAGTCAAGACCAGGCAAGATCCCCTCATGGTGCTGAAGGGTTCTAAATCCATCCAGGGCAACTGCGTCGGTAGCCGTGGAAATTTCAATTCGGCCAGAGTCCTTCCAATGAGCCACTTCAGGCCCCACGGTGGACAGATTCATGTCTGGTGAAATAGAATGCGAATCAAGGATCTGGCCATCATCATTTTGGAGTAAGAGAGTACGAGCACCTTGGAGTACCCCAAGCCCACCGTCTGTCAGGGCAGCGGCCTTCGCGGCTTCCACGCCAACCAGACGAATAGATGAATCGTAGAGGAACGGTCTGAAGAGACCAATTGCGCCGCTACCACTACCAATGGCAGTGATGAGGGCATCCGGGTGGCGACCTACTGCCTCGTGCATTTGGGCTGCAACCTCCTCGCCTAGAAGGGCTTGGAACGTGCGAGCTAGGGTTGGCAGGGGGCTGGGACCCACAGGGCTACCCATGAGGTAGTACGCAGATTCGTGATTGCAGACTGCATACCGCAGTGCTTCTGTGATAGCAGCGCGTAGACTGCCCATACCGGAGGTTGTGCGAGTCGTCAGAACCTTAGCGCCGAGCGACTTCATTACGAGCACGTCCTGCTCCTGGACACTAGCGTCATCCGCACCCATAACAACCACACACCTCAATCCTAGACGTGCGCACATTGCAGCGGTGAAGTTTCCATGTTTGGCTGAGGCGCAATCCGTGACGATCTCGGAGCGGCCCATCCGGCGAGCTAGTAGGAGCTGGCCGATGATGTTGCGGGTCTTATGGCTGCCATATTCGTTCTTATCCTCGCGTTTCAGCCAGATGGTAGCCCCTCCCGCCAAGTTGGTTAACTTCCCGGCCATGTACAATGGTGTGACCTGAGCACGCTGGAACGTGGCATATTCTTCCCAGAACGAAGGGTCTGAGACGGTGGCCTCGAAGAATGATGTCAGCTCGTATAGGAATCCCATTATTGATTCAGGGGCAAACCTGCCCCCGTAGGGACCATAGCCGTCGAATGTAACCTGTGGGGCCCGCAGTCTGCCATCTGGCTGCAGGATGGGAGTATACGGTGTGATGATGTTCAATCTCGATGTGGAAGTAGTCTTGGCAGGCGTTTCGGGGGTGTGTAAAAGTGTTGTCAATGCCGATTGATACTGTGGTCGCTCTGGTTTCGCCATCTGAGGCACCTGTTGACTCAGTTTGGGTGCTATTGCAGCTCGAGAGAGAAACTGAAGGAGTCCTGGACTGTACGCTGGCACGCCCTGGGCAGGGACTAGGAATTCGTGCTTGTGCAATCGTTCTGCCAGCAGGTCTTAAGCGAATGGATTCTTCCGCATTTTCCGAGCCATGTGTAGTAGAATCAGTGGCTTCACATGATTTGGAGGAGGAAAAGCAAAGAAACCGGCGCAGAGAGCGAAGCATGATGGGTGTTTTTATCAGATGACAGTAGAGATTGAGTTGATGTCTTTATGAAGTGACTTATAAACAAAAGATGGAGAGCCGTAAAGCATAAAAAGATTTGAGTCTTGACTTATTCAGACCATGCTATGGAAGTTAGGGCATGGTACCGGTGGGCGAGAGGTGCATTAAGTACAATGTCTATAGAAGTTACTGCCTAAGGTACTCCGTATGTGGACATCTTTCAGGTCGTCAGGCCAATTGAACAGAAAGTTCAATATAGTCGCACTGTCTTTCTTGGCCAACCAGGATATCCGACTGGCTGTTCTAGCTTCTTTCACCTGTGAGTGGAGAACAGTTGGACATGTAAGTATATGGCCGGTATTGTGAGATTACGTATGGACTAGTTAGACCGTAAATGAGTCGTACAGAAAATCTATATGCAGCTGACTGTAAATATAGTTGATCTATTCTTACAAATGAAATGATATGCTACATACTGGGAGCGTCAAAATCCTTTCCAAGAACTGAAGATCTGACAGGCTAAGCCGTAGGCTTTCAATATCTCCTGAAATGAAAGCAAGATGGCCTCAGATCAAGTCAGAGGCAAGATTTGCTCAATTTCATACCCAGGTGTTCCATACATTAACCATGTAAAAGATAGTTGCGGCAATCAGGGCTCACCGACATCACTCCTCATACTGGTAGCAAACGCACCCAATCATCATACTTCCCGAGGTCGATTGCTTCCTACTCTGTAAATCCTTTGTCTGAAAAGCTGCTATCAGTAAACAGGCTAGAATACTCTGTACAAAGTCAGAATGGTTCAACCACCATTCCGGATATGGAATAAGCGAAATGCCTCTAGATGCAATGAACCGCAGCGGTGACAGCAGTGGGACTCAATACCTAGCGTAGCGCCAATGATGTACTGAGCCCCAATTTCTTATGATCACATTCCACATCGCAATTGAGGCGTGCAAATTTGCACGGATTCAGCTCCTTTTGGCATCAAACCTCATAATGTTGATTGTGAATGCGATTGGGGGCCTCCCAAGGCAGAGTCCTCTATATGCCGTGTCACTCCATCTGCACTATCCCAATAGTCTTGTTGGTGTTTCACAAAGCGAGCCTTATCTCAGGCTACATTCAAATCCATGTGGATTTTTCCAGCTCCCGCTCCACGTGTGCCCGTTGCTATGTCTTTCAGACTCGATTCATAGAATGAATATTACTTGAAAATGAGACTGAGAAGTACAGGGGTATGAATCGGACAGGTCGTATCTGTCTTTCGTGATATACTTCGCTAATGGACTTGGGGGTCGTGTTCATTCAATCTCTTTCAGCCACCCGAGGACATCTTTCAACTACACTTTCTGCTTTCTTTCAACAAACTTTACATTTTCAATTAGTACAGAGTTATACCTCGGAAATTATTGGGGAACTTGCATCGCGATGAAAACCACAATTGAGTTCTATCATTGGCACATTGGACATTGCTCCTACGAGCATGAATGTGGGTGATCTGAGCTCAGTGGCAGTCCTTGGCTAGGTCGCTTTCAAAGGTCGCACTAAAATATTCAATTTACGTGTCAGGCATCATAAATCCTTGATAGACGCAGATTTCCAAGGAGCGTGCCGGACGTGCTGTTAAGATATAAAGGATTAGGCCTGATCACTTGGCGCCAAACCATGACATCAAAGGTGCTTGGAGCCGCAAGGCACAATTTACTCCCAAAAATTGGATGTCTTTTCAATGATAGATTGTTTTGGGGGAAATAGTCACCCTTACACCAATTGAAGCGTACTTGCCCTTAGCCAAGTACCAACATCTCAGGTCAGATGTTCGTTACTGGACAAGAGGGCCCGTTCCATGCCCGTGGTCATTTTGAGAAGACATCAACAATACTATAGATAAAGAACTGTCCATATCTGCACTAATTCCTGGCTTGAGCGCAGTACCATATTGTTTAAGTCCGAATCAAACCATTCATCATCCAAAAGCTGCTGAGCTGAAGGTCTGCCCCAAGGGCCAAGCTTCATGATCTTTGGGATAAAGCTCTTATCATGATTTGAGACTTCCTGTTCCAAGATTTGGGCGAAGGGTTTCTGTTTGCCGTGGAGATCTCCCATGATCTGCATGAGGGTCTTTAGAGTATCGGGGTTTGCGATCCCCTGGTATGAAATAGGGAACGAACCGACAAATTGGCATTGTTTTGTAATGATTTCCTGGCACGGCCGTGGTGATATTAGGTGGGTTCTGTACTGTGGCGTTACCTATCATGTTGGTGGTGTGGTTGATATAACCTCCAGGGGGGCTATACATTTGGGCCATGATCAGCATATTATGGCACGGTAAATTGGGGATAAGAAGAGGAAGACGAATGATAACCTCCCCGACGCAAACCACATAGTTAATATAGTTGACACCATTCTGACACAGAGCATTGAAATTAGAATTACAGGCCAGGAACTGCGGAATTGTGACATTGGACAGGCCACTGACCACATAGTCACAGGTGCCGGTCAACTGCCACACACGAGTCTCGCACTATGGGGGGACAGACAGAGTATGATTGACCACTGGGGAGACCCAGTTCAGGCAGTATAGATCCAGGTTTCTCAAATAGAGCAGACTGTACGTGAACACATTGAGGGCCTGGGCCACCGAGTTGCAAGTATCCTCGACTAACACTTCGTATGAACCCCTGCAACTCGATGCCATGGGATTTATGACGGCCGTCGCGTTCAGCGCATATTTCGTTGGATTGGCGTAGCTGTAAGTAGTCGCAGTACAGCTGGTTGTCGGCGACGCATAGTTCTGTGCCACACAATCATTATGTCCGAAGGGACTAGCCAGTGCCAGGCCGAGCCCGCCCAACCAGCAGTCCGAGCACAACTGGCTCGTTGCGAGAGGCTGGTTTGACTATGAGACCACGAGAATATCGCAGTACTAACCCGTGGTACTGTCTGTCCGGCAGGACAACTCGTTGGCACTGGCGTCCAAGCGAAGAATGCTGGAAGATGTGTCTGTTTGAAGTGCAAATAAGAGTTTCTTCACCTGCAATGATGGAGGTCAATGTTCGAGCGACGCTCGGGTAGACCAGTCTTGCGAATGGGTCATGCAAAGTCTGGCTCAAAGAGCAAGCGAGCTGGTCACTATGATCATGATGACAGTGGCCCTTTGGATGTTGCTTCAAGCCAAAGCTGCACCAGTTCCATTATGATGTGCATCTGCAAATACTTCCCTAACGCCAGAATTAAAAGGAGCGAGCAACTAACCTAGGAAGATATTTAATATCACGAGTCAATTCCTTGACTTTCCTGCCTTTCCCTTCAAAAAGTGACATACTCCGAAGGCGTGGTAATACACAGAAGGCGGATTTTTTCGCGATGGACTGCCATTACAATGAGCCGTCGAGCAATTATGAAGCTCAAAGGAAGATAAAACACTCATTTTAGCGAAATACAAAGTCCTTCTGATTTGCTTATTGCCAGTCAAGGCAGTGACGTCGCGCCATGGACCTTGAGTTCTGTAGCCTAAATGGACCTAGTCTTCCCTGCCTTTTTTCTTTTCTTTCTCGTATCTCCTGACACCTCCCTTCACCCTTATTTCTCCCATTTTGTGCAAGTTCTCCATCAATTCAAAACATAGCCCTCTCAATTCAAAATACAAAATGGTCGAAGATATCGACATTGTGCCATTCGGTCACCTGCCTTTCGATTTCCATATTATGGTAAATCTTCCAGAGCGACAAAAAGCCCCGATAGAGGCCACTGATATTGTAATAGGAAAAATGGGATCCCAATTCACCTCTTACAAAAACCCAACAGTTTCGTGCCCTTGTTGAGTCTTGGACTCGGCTTGGAAAACCTGCCCGCAATGTAACCGTTTGGACCCCACCTTTCCTAGGGATCAACGCTAATGAAGAAGTAGAAATACCCAGACGGTGATGACCTGCTTCCCGAGGAAATCCCTCCACATGTACCTCAAGATCTTCTGTCAGATGAAGATCGTGCTGTGAGTGGTCAGACAACAAGATTACTCTGGATTCGGACATGGTACGGGCAGAGAGATGATCAGGCAAGCCAGGATACTGCTGATGCCGATTACAATCGTCTCCACATGGTCGTGTTTGGGGATGGAGTATTAGAAGATGCATGTCTAGGGCAAGAGTGTATCTTCGACAACAAAGAAGAGTTTGGCCCTGGTAGTATCACTATGCCTGATGGGGATACTAATTCCGATTTCGTGGATGGAATCGCGTGCGGGACGCCAGGCTCTGTGCCATCATATATGATCACGGCGCTGATGCACAGACCAGATATGCTTGATGGTCTGTCGCGTCGCGATTGGCCTGCGGCGTGGTATGAGGAACCAGATGTGCTAGAAAAGTTTCAGTCTATTATGGTTATTGTCGCCGATCGCAAGGCGTGTGAAGAAGGATGGGTGTTGCTATTAGCTCCGAACCACAGGGGGGAGATCCTTCCCTTCAGAATCCGTGAAAGGGCAGCTTGGGTGTATCAACAGATTCTTAACTTCATGGAGGGTCAGAACTTAGAGGAGAATACTACGGACCCCGATCAGGATGTGGAATTTTATATGCGTGAAAACCCCGATGGCTGGGCTCCTGATAGCGTTCTCTGAATTTATGTTTACTTGCTAGTAGAGGTACAGTGAAATATTTGTGAAAAATGGTTTCATTGACCATGTTTCCCAAAGAAGTAAGATGGGCAGTAAGATAAAAAAATGCTGTAGCTAGGATAGAAACATCTTACATTCCATCTTTTCAATATATGCAGTGTGCAAAATTGGAATATATCTACCAAAGCGGCATATTATCTACACATCTCCCCAGGGCTGTATGTTGTATGTTTATACCTGTTTTCAGTGTCCAAATCCGTGAACGGAGCGGCTCCGCCTTCCCCCTGCCCATTACCCGGATTTTGGCGACTGGCGGGTCCCGTATATCGTAACAAGAGATCATGGTAATAGTGATCCAATTTGTAGAAGATACTTCCATAAATTAAGGACGAAAGTATAAAGGATCAGAAATATACTGAGTGAAATTGGCAGCAAGATACATCCATAGACAATGGAAAGCAGCGTGTGATTCTGCTGGTCCATACCGCTATCTACAATCATGTGATTGGGCACGTGATGATTTGGAACATGAGCGATGAAGCACTCCATTTCTTTTCAGAGTAAGGTATTGTACGAACTCTGTGTTGTCAAATAGCTAAAAAGCAGGGCTATAGGAGCCCTGTTAAAGTGAGCAAGTCCCAAAAGTTGTAAGCGCGGCCTAAACTCTGATATATATATGTACATATATTGTCTTCTATCCATCTCCTCAAGATTAGCATCACAACAATAAAACAGCCTCACAACAAAGTTATCTAAGCTCAACATAACAGGGGTGATCCCACTGAAAATCTGGGCGGACATCGTTTCCAACCACTGAAAAACCCGTGATAAAATGGTCGATCATACGAACCATTACCGGAATAGAGCGATGTGCACTCTTAGTGCGGGGGAAGAAAGCTTGGCTTTAAGGCGGGGGGATTCTTCGAGAAGAGATATACGATCTAGAGCGATCTATGGAGTAGAGCATGCGTTGTACCTTTTTGCATTTAATTGTTTTGGAGTTTACAGTTCAGGGGAGCCAAATAACGTTGAGGTGGAAGACCAAAAAATATATCTGGAACGACGTTCTAATTTTTCTCTAGACCTTGTAAAAGAGACATTCGCAACGTGTATATCGTGATAAGAGCAATGGCTCACGAAGCCGGGGATGGGTTGGAACCATAGCATAGGGGTCAACAGACCATACCGTAAAAAAAAAAGAAAAAATTAAACAAACAGCCTAAAAGCAAAAATCCTTAACGGGTATACGCTCAATGCAAAATGCAGACAGATATGAGGGAATGACCATCGCCGACCGATAATCCTCGACATCTAGTGAGGAGTGACTCGGTTGGTGATAAAGAGGAAACGGCGTGCCAGTGCGCCATGGCAGGGATGGTGGACATCGATACTCAAGGTATCGGAAAAGCGATGTCCGACCGTCCCAAGAAATCCGAAAACCGAAAAAAGGGTTGAATAAATAAAAGACATCGAGTCTTGAGGAATGGAAGGGATGATTCAATAAAGGGAACAATCTCCTGGATGTGAAGAAAGTAGGTTGGAGATAAAAGACGAATCAGGTGAAAAGATCAGGTGCAGAGATCAGCCACAGACCTGGATGGCGACCAAGGCGCGAGCTAGATCCTCGGGGGAGAAAGGAAGGTGCTTTCTGGCGGACACGACGCACGGGGACATAGCGGGCGAGACGGCGCGGACGAGGGGCGATGAATAGCGGATTGACTCCTTCAGAACGAACTTCTGATCCTTATCCTCCGGAATCTCGTATATAGAGCCCTCATTGATAAGGGTCATCATCGAGCCACTGTAGCTGGAGGGGTTGAGGATGGTGGAGGACTGAGAGCCGGAGTCAGCAGCGCGTGGCGAAGATTCCGCAGGGGCCTCTGGATTGGGGTCGGCTATCGAAGAAAAAAACAGGTTAGAATTGAATTTTTTTTTTCCTGGTGAATACTTCGATTCGGGCTGGAAATGCGTACCTGGATCGACATTGGCTGCATCATCCGGAGACACCGAGTCGTCTGTATCGGAGGAGCGGGAGTAACCGTAACCCTCACAAGGATCAGAGGGCGAGACGGAAAGTTCGAATGAACGAGTTCGTTCGACCATTGCACCCTCAAAGGACCAAGCGGCTAGGCTTTTTTGGTGGGCACGGTCGAATGGACCACGGAATTTAGAAGGTGGACATTCGTGTCGTCTGTAATATTCGATCTTGGGTTTTCCGTCGTTTTTGGATTTGGAGTTGGAGCGGAACACCCGCTTGACCTTCTCGCGGAACGTCATATTGGAGAGAAAAAGAATTGTGAACAGGGAATATTCAAGATTCAGATTCAAAGAAGTTCAGAGATCAATGCGGGCGGTTCCTAGTGAAGATGGCCTCAGTGCATACCACTTCCAGATTGAGAACGGGTGTGCAAGCACGAAGAGCGGGGGTTTTGTATCAGGAACCGCTTTATCATTCTATGAGAATACAGGAAACATAGAGAGGAGAGGGTCAAAGTCGAGAGTAAAGGAAAAGTGAATGTAAGAGGAGGGATAAGTGGGAATTATAGTCGTAAACGTGGATGCAACGGCAAGAGATAAGGTGGGATTCCCCAGAACCATCTCCGGTCCATATCCGGTGAAGACATTGGGGGCAAATTGACCAAGGCCTCTAATGGTGGAGTCTAGGCGAACACTATGACATTATTCTCCGTTTGCTTTCCAAGGTACTATATTATACTTGAAAAGTCCTTGGATCTACGTAGTCTCATTATCGACGGAGTCCTCCGTAGACTGGCCTCCGTATATACTCGGTGTAAGCGACATTAATCGGTGCCCCGAGCAATATTGACCCATTTACTCCGAGATACGACCGAGTCTGGAACACACTGCACTTCCAGAATATTTGTGCACATACAACCATAGTAGAGTAGCGAACTGGGATCTCCCCGAGTTCTAAAGGGAAAACGGAACGATCATCCCCAACTGTAAGTGGCGTACTGCATCGAAGGCTTCCAGAAAACGATTGTCAGCCTCACAGTTACATCATCCATTTTGGCCGTAAGACGATGTGGTAATGCCAACACACCAGCGGGAATAAACCGGAAACAGTGTGGATCCGATTGTGCCCCGCTTGCCGATTTTGCCGTTTGTGCCGGCCGAAACATGGTCATGGATCATACTGCACAGTTTGGCTGTCTTGTACATAGCAAGGCCGGCTGGCCCAATGGCAAGGCGCTTGACTACGAATCAAGAGATTGCAGGTTCGATCCCTGCGTCGGTCAACTAAATTTTTTGTTTTTTGCTCACTTTTGTTGCTCTGTTCGTAAACAACCTATCTATGAACAACGTATTTTTGGCACATTGCAATATCATATATGATGACCTCATAATTTAAGATCAAAGACAGAGTTGTTATTATTTGACATCCTATATATGCACGAAATCACGCCTCAATCCACTACTGCGCAGTAGATATATGTCCGGTGGGGGGGGAACAGTCTGACTCCATTGGAGCCTTTGAAAGCCATAGATCTTGCATGGTACTCATTTGACTCATTCGACTATTTATATATTTTTATCATTACTATTTTCGTCTTTAATTGTGATATTCTCCAATTGTTTCAGAGATGATGTAATCGCCGTTTCCCAGGTGGCTTCTCCACGAAGGAAGTAGTCTCCGGTAAGTCAAGGATACATAGGATACTACCTTAGTCTTTGCGCCTTTCCCCAGATAATCCTTGAGCTCCTGACTGCCCCGACCACCCTACCCTGATTACCCCTGAACGGCCCCTAGTCGTGCAAGGCACAACCCTATTTACCCGATGCAGAATGTTAGGGCTGGCCCAAGCTCACACGATGGAACTATGAAAGAGACATCGCATGCGGAGGAATGTAAAGTAAAACAGAAAAGAGAAAGGAATTTGATTCTTTGATTCAGCGATTTTAAAAAACCCATCTGAATCTAATAATAACTACCTAAGTACCAAAAGCCCAGGGAAAAAAAAAGGAATAATTTGGTAATACTTTGTGTTCCATAACTGTCCTCACCACGGATCGAGAACCCTAGAGAAGAGAACATACCGCGTCATCCCTTGCCTTCTTCCTTCCTACACTTCACTACCATTCGTAAGTTAACTTCGCCTTTTATCATCTTTCATCTCATTCTAACCAGCGCAGAATCACTTCAATATCAATAATGGCTAAGAAAGGAGGAAAGAAGAACAAGAAGGGCAGCAAGCCCGCCGCCGCTGCTGTGGTAGACAACGTCAAGGACGTGGTGTAAGTTGGAAAAAAAATCAACATGCCACATAATCAACTAACCTTGGAACTCTTTAGCGAACCCGATCAGGTTGAGGACCAGGTCAAGCAGACCGAAGGCCAGACTGAGATCGCCGAGCAGACACAGGTGCCTGAGACTGCGACACAGCCCACCGAGACCGTCGCCGAGTCCACCAAGGCGCCCGAGGTCATCCCCTTGACCGAGACTCCCGCAGCTGAGATCCCAGCTGTGGCAGAGACCGAGGAAGTGGATATCAAGGAAGCTCTGAAGGCCGATAAGGTGCCCTCGACGGAGGGTACAGTCGAGGAGGCGGTGGAAAAAGCGCAAGCCTCCAAGGCTGGCCAGATGGGCGAGTTGGAAGGTGGAGCTGCTGCCGGTACTGGTATGACGCGCATTAGTAAAAACGCGACAATGATTCCAACTAACTCGGATTTTGTAGCTGTCCTCCCAGAGACGACCACCAAGGAGCCCGCTTCGATCGCCGCAACCGGCGTTCCCGAGACATTGGTCGAGCGTCCCAAGACCTCGGAATCAACCACCGCCCCTGCTGTCGTTGCGCCCGAGCCTGTGGCCCCTGCTGCTGCTGTGCCTGTTGCTGCCCCCATTGAGAGCGATGCTGCTCACAAGCGCCCGTATGAGAAGCCCATCTTCAACACCGAGGAGAACCTGAAGCCCCACAAGATGCCCAAGACCGACGAGGAGCCGATCGCGGCTAGCGTGGCTGAGGACAAGAAGACCATTGAGAACTTGGCCGGTGTTGGACCTGCTTCGGCTGCTGCGCTCACAACCCCTGAGCCTGCGCCTGTTCAGGCCGAGGCATTCACGGTCGCCGATACACCCAAGGTTGCTGAGACACCCAAGATCGTTGAGGAGAAGAAGGTCGCCGAAGCACCTAAGGTTGCTGAGGAGAAGGCTCCTGCCCCCAAGAGCACCGCTGCTCAGTCTGGCGCCAAGTCTCCTTCATCCCCCGTAGCGGTCGCCGCCGCAAACGCTGCCCTCCTCTCTTCCAGGGGTGACAAGGCTGCTGCTCCGGCGGCTGCTCCAGCCGCCGCCCCGGTTGCCAAGGAGGCCGAGCCCAAGAAGCCCGAAGCTGCCTTGAAGCGTGGCGAGGAGCCGGTGCGCAAGGCTGACGAGGCCCAGCCAGAGCCTCAGCCCGAGACCAAGGCTGAGCCTGTCAAGGAGGAGACTCAGAAGCCATCCGAGACCGCAGCAGAGCAGGCCGAAAAGGCCGAGCAGGCTGAGAAGAAGAAGGGCGGATTCCTGTCCTGGTTGAAGCGCAAGTTCAAATAAAGTAATCGCTGTTGGGAGAGGGCCAGTGTATGATATGCGTTGTACGCTAGTTGGGGATGTTGAGGGGGCGCTTGCAGGCTATCTTAGGCTGCCTCAGGTTTTGTTTTTCTTTCTTTTGTCAGGCTTTGATGATACACCAGTTGAAATTATATATCAGAATCAGAATCATAGTGCTTATTATTTTTGATCGGGGGTCTTGCAATGTAAAGAAGAATAGTGTACTCAGGGCCGTTGGGCTTCCAAGTTTTTGCTGTCCGATGTACACCGCTACTCAGGCGTCAATGCGTGGCTCCATCTGACATGGACACCATATGGATTGTCAATAATTGCCTGATCGTCTACTTTATACCTCCCTTCCTGCGGCAAATCACCAGGATTCTATTGGGCTGGTCATGGTCCAAGCTTGAAAGGTCGTCATTGGTTGGGAATCCGGGGGTCTTTGCACCGGACGATTCCAACGCCTCCCTCCCTACTCCGTACAGGATCGGGCGATGGGAAGAGGCTGGCAATACAAAAGAGATGCGTGCGATGCGTGGCAACATGCTGAAAAAGCCCTTGACCACACAATATCACCAACCCGACAGACACCCTGTACCCCTATATACGGAATCTGGGTGGATACGACATGGACTATTGGACAGACGAAGCCCCACGCCAGGTGGGCTCAAGAGCGAAGCCCCTCCACTATGGCGTAGCCCAGCCTCGACTTTCGTATAGCGGGCTCTGTTTTCCAACAGGATCGTTTTGGGTGATTTGTAGAGACCGGAATGGAGCTTGGCATTGAGTCCGGGACGCTTGAGGATTTCCCGGTATTTCTCATCAGGGAAGAGGGGTATTAGTGAGCAGTATAGATACAGCATTTCAGACGTATATCAATTCGTGGCCACTGGGTGGTTCGTAGTCATAACAAGGCTGTACTGGTTTTCGTACTGGCTCCCATCGAGATATCGTGACTTGCAGGCAGGAAGAGAGGCGGGACTCTAGTGATTGATGAAAGTGGTCAGTGGATGTGATTTTGTACAGCACGAATCGTCTCGTTTGTTTTGAGGTTTCTCGGTTCATTCTTTGGATTGACCCTCAAGAAGTCTAAACACTTCGAGGTTGTGGGAGGTCGGATCCTCCCTTCAAGTGGGCCTATTCCCAAAGACTCATCGTGGTGTTGAATAGGGTTGTCCTGATTTGAGAACCATCGTGGCTCATTTGAATGAGGGTTTGTATCTGCGGACCTTCCAAAACTCGATTCCATCAAGTTTGGACGACCGTGGGGGTCTCAAAGGAGACAGAGAGGTTGTATGTGGCTAGATGCGGAAACAGAAGGAAGCAAAGACCAGGGAAGGTGATGAACATAAGGAAGGCGTGCAAGTAGGAAGGTGCAACCCAGCCCTACCAAACATGTACTTTTCCACTATAATTCCTGCCTCCTTCTAGTTCACCGTCTCGCCCATTTCTTCTTACCATCATCCCAGTATGTTCCAACTAAACCCAGACGATAACCATGTGAGGGAGTCCGTCAAGCAAGTAAATGAAAATACCTGGCTGATTGGCGAGCTGACCCTCCGTTCTTCGAGCGGTCGTTCCGATGTCATTATTTGGTAGGGCTCAACCGACAATCTTAGCTACACTCTCACCAACGCAGCCCCTCCACCTCCGACCATCCTACCTATGAGGCCGTCGAATTCTTTTTTGGGGGGGAAAGGGGAGGGTGGGTTGTAGCCTGCCCACTTTATGTGGAATTACGACATGAGAGCAACGTCTTTCACAGTGAGTAGACTCTCACCCCGGTGAGAGGGACGACCTTGGATGAGACTAGGTGATGCTTCGGCAAGTATAGAGGCTAGGACCGTGGTCATTGAGGATGGTGAGTCAAAAGCTCATTCCGTTGTGCCCACAGACGGGTGGTCTATTTTGATAAGTAGGTTGTATAGGATAAGTGATGGTCATACGCTATGCGAGGACTGGAGCAGCTGAGCTAGTCTACGTATCGATACTCAATAGTGGGTAGATATTGATATATCGAGGTATAGTCACGAATAAGAGAGTGTTAAGAAGCCGGGGTTAGCCTTCACAATTTAGTATAAGTAGAGGTAAGCCAAGATATAGCCAATCTTATCATGCCAATATAGAAACAAAAGTAATAATATAGTGAGTGTATCAAGATATCAATGTAGAATAGAAGTCTCCACTAATTGAAGCTATAAAAGAAATATACGGTCAAGGATATAAAAAAAAAAGACGCCAATCCACGAACCCCGCCCTGTCAGGACCGCCTACCCCCTTCAGGACAAAGGACCTGATCAATTACCAGGTGGGTTTGGGGGGGACTTCCATAATCCCTCGGTCAGCCTTCACAGCCATGCCACGGACCTAGACCAGTTGGCCGACCGGCCTAGGCATTATGACAAGACCAGCAGTCAAAGAGGTAGAATTTCAGATTCCCAGCCACTAGGCTAACCAGGGTGGATCAGCTGGTAGGAGATCTTTTACCTTGCATATATAGAGCCTCTTTCCTCTTTGGGACACACATAGTTACTGACCAGGGTTCGACTCCTGCCCAAGATAGCTTTGATGAAAGCCGAATATCTGGTCGGACGCTCGCAGATGCCTGGAAACATCGCTACGTGAAGGCAGTCGTAAAAACTTGCGAGACAGTTGCAAACCGGGAAGGAGACGTGCTTGGTGGCGTGGACGGAAAATGCATACCTGACCAGTATCTGACCAAGCGTGGAACTGCCATAGAGTTCCAGCCTCAAAAACCTACTGAAGTTTACACATTAATGGGGATGGATTGTTCAAAACTCTCTTATGCTGACCTAGGTCCTGGAAACATCATTATGGAAGATGTGCCGAAAGATGGCACGGTTGGGATCATTGATTGGGAGATTGCTGGGTATGTCCCCAGAGGATGGATACGGAGTTTCAATTGAGAAGTGGATTGGGATCTTCCTAATCCGGGGCCTGAGGAGTCTCATTGGTGGTCAGAGGTTCAGAAACTATTAGAGAAACATGGATTCGATGATCGTTCGACCGACTGGACGCCATGGTATTGAATCATTGGTGTGCTATAACATCTGCAGGCCTGATTCATGATCCGATACAATAACCTTGATGAAATCTGTGGCGAATCTGAGACTAGACTTTGTGTTCCCCATAATAAGCTGTGTAATTGTGAGATGGATGTATACTCCGTCGAGATGTACGTACATCCCACATCTTCGCCCCCGCAGTTTACACCATAACTAGTTCGGGCCTCGGTAAGTCCGGAAGATGTGTATAAAATTGGCTGAAGATACTCTACATCCCTCAAATACCACTGCAATTCTTCATGGCATCTCTTCCACGTAAACTATGGCAACATCCAGCCCCGGAATCCACCCAGATGGGTCACTTCCAGCGCGACCTAGAGAAATCCACTGGACGCAAGTTCGACGTGAGTGACTTTGGAGATCAAACGTACTACATTATCTAACCACCCTAGTCCTTCCATGATATGTATCTATATTCAGTGAAGAACCGTTCGGCATTCTGGGAATTCTGCTGGAAATACTTCCACTTGATCCACGAGGGCTCCTACACAAAGGTAGTCGATGAGACTGCTCGAATGGATAGCGTGCCCGAATGGTTCGCCGGTGTACGCCTGAACTTCGCCGAGAATCTACTCTTCGCGCACATTGCCGGTGACAAGACTGGCAAGGAAGACGGCAAGATTGCCGTTAGCGAGGTCCGAGAAGGCGCTGCGCATGATGTCGTCCACCTCACCTGGAGTGAGCTCCGGCGACGGACTGGAGTTTTAATCCAGGCTATGAAGGCTCATGGGGTAGTTCGGGGTGATCGTATTGCTGTCTGCGCGGCGAATAGTATTGAAACACTACTTGTGTTCTTGGCGACAACGGCTCTGGGAGCTATTTTCTCGTCCAGTTCCACCGATATGGGTACTAAGGGTATTTTGGATAGGCTGCTTCAGATCAAGCCTCGCTGGTTGTTCATCGACGATTTGGCGGTCTATAATGGCAAGACTATCGACTTGCGATCGAAGATTGGGGAGATTGTTCAAGGCATGGAATCTGAGTCTGAGTTTGAGGGAGTCATCGCACTACCTAGATTCTCCTCGCGGCCGGCGGATATCAGTTCCATCCCCCAAACTGAAACTCTGACGGAGTGGCTTGCAAAAGCACATGGCAACGATAAACTCGAATTCGAACGAGTTAGATTCCGTGATCCTTTCTTGGTGGCTTACTCGTCTGGCACGACAGGACAGCCGAAGTGTATCGTCCATTCCGTGGGCGGCGTGCTTCTAAACTCGAGCAAGGAAGGTAGATTGCATAGTGGTCTCGGGTCTGACTGCGTCACCTTGCAATACACGACCACTGGATGGATCATGTATGTGAGTGCCATGCAGAGTTTGCTGTTTGGCGTGCGGGTGGTGTTATACGATGGAAGCCCATTTATTCCAGGTGTCGCTGCTCTGATTGATCTTGCAGCGCAGGAGAAGTAATTGTCCTTCCATTGATATCCACATGTGCAGTCCTCAGCTAATCAACTGCAGGGTGACCCATCTTGGAATATCACCCCGGTGGTTGCATGAAATCCAACAGGCAAAGATCAAGCCCCGTGAGAAAGTCGACCTCAGCTCTTTACGGGTTGTCACAAGCACTGGCATGGTGCTGCGGGATGCATTGTTTGAGTGGTTCTACGACGAAGGGTTCCCACCCCATACTCGCCTGAATAATATTGCTGGTGGTACTGATATCGCAGGATGCTTTGGAACCGGCAACCCTCTTTCCCCCTTGTATGTGGGCGGATGCGCCGGATGCAGTCTGGGAATTCCTGTGGAGGTTTACGACTCTACAATTGAGGGCGGCGACGGAATTCAGGGTGTACCCGTGAAGGAGGGTGTTGCGGGCGAGTTGGTCGCCACATCTGCTTTTCCCAACATGCCCACACTGTTGTGGGGTGACGAGAATGGAAAGAAGTATCATGATGCGTATTTTGGGAGATTCGATAGTGGGACCACTCCTCCCTGTATGTGTGTGGCTATGGTCACTGATACTCTGCAGATGTATGGACACAGGGCGACTTCATTTCGATCCATCCAATCACGAAACAAATCGTGTTTCACGGACGCGCCGATGGGGTGCTCAACCCGTCGGGTGTGCGGTTCGGTTCGGCCGAGATATATCGGGTAGTCGAGGGTCAATTTTCGAAAGAAATTGGTGATTCTATATGCGTGGGACAGCGACGGCCAACAGATACGGATGAGCGCGTGATACTCTTTCTACTCATGAAACCAGGGGTAGCGTTCACATCGGACTTGGTTGCACGAGTGAAGAGCGCGATTCGTACAGAGCTGAGCCCACGTCATGTACCGATGTTCATGTTCGAAACCCCTGAAATTCCGGTATGTACTTCGAACTCCGAAGGGAAAACAAGATACGTAAAAGTGGGACTGACCCACGCATATCGTCACAGACCACGGTCAACCTGAAAAAGGTGGAGCTCCCTGTGAAGCAGATTGTCTCGGGGAAAACCATCAAGCCCTCAGGTACACTGCTCAACCCGAAGAGCTTGGATTTTTACTATCAATTCGCCAGAGTGGAAAGTTTGTACGAGAGTAAACTCTGAAACACAGACTCTTGGACCTCTCATTCAACGTGGCTCCATATGAGAGGGGCAGACCGGGTCAATCGGGATCGTCACTTCGCTCTGCCAAGCTTTGACCAAGCTTTAACAACGGGCCCTTGGAAGGGTTTGTATATGTCGATACATAGTAGAAAATAGTAGAAGAAACATAAATTAGATTCAATTACGTTAAAAAATGGATGATCGTTGTAGCAAAGAAAAAGAGTGAGGTAGAAGTTGAGGAAGAGGGAAAAAGTGATGGGCTGATTTGACTGCGTCATTGACAGCTCCCCGCACGTGGTAATGGATCCTTCTTCCCTCTTATATTTCTCAATTCCTTCCTCGCTGATTCTTCAATTCTGAGCTTTTGGTCTTCTGTTTTTTTTATTTCTCTTTTATTTCTCTTTGATCTCTAACCATTCGCAATGGTCCATCTCGCTAAAGTTAACAAGGACAATGAGGTCGTCACCTCTCCTCATGACATTGTCCCTATTTCTCCTCCAGACATCAATGACTTCGATACCAATGTCTACGGCAGTCACTTTGCCGCCGATCATATGCCTCAGGATCGAATGCCAGAGCGAGAGATGCCTCGCCAGGTTGCCGCTCGGATGATCAAGGACGAGCTGAGTTTGGATGGTAATCCCAAGCTCAATCTCGCCAGTTTCGTCACCACCTACATGGAAGACGAAATTGAGGAGATTATGACCGACGCCTTCAGCAAGAACTTCATTGATTATGAGGAATACCCCCACTCCGCCGAGATTCAGAACCGATGCGTGAACATGATTGCTAGACTTTTCAACGTTCCCACGGATCCCTCCGGTGAAAATGCCATGGGCACTTCAACTATTGGATCTTCTGAGGCTATTATGCTGGGAACACTGGCTATGAAGAAGCGATGGCAGAATAAGCGCAAGGCTGAGGGCAAGGACTACTTCCACCCCAACATTGTTATGAGCAGTGCTGTTCAAGTCTGCTGGGAAAAGGCTGCTCGTTACTTCGATATTGAGGAAAAGTACGTTTTCTGCAGCGATACTCGTTTCGTGATCGACCCCAAACAGGCAGTCGATTTGGTGGATGAGAACACAATCGGTATCTGTGCCATCTTGGGTACCACCTATACCGGCGAATACGAGGATGTCAAGGCGATCAACGATCTACTAGTGGAACGTAATATTGACTGCCCAATTCACGTTGATGCGGCTAGTGGTGGCTTTGTTGCTCCATTCATCCGCCCTGAGATTGAGTGGGACTTCCGCCTGCCAAAGGTGGTTTCCATCAACGTTTCCGGTCATAAGTATGGTCTGGTCTACCCTGGTGTCGGATGGGTTGTCTGGCGCGCTCCGGAGTTCTTGCCCCAGGAATTGGTGTTCAACATCAACTACCTAGGAGCTGACCAGGCTAGCTTTACTTTGAACTTCTCCAAGGGTGCTTCTCATGTTATTGGACAGTACTACCAACTGATCCGCTTGGGTAAGCGTGGCTACCGTGCAATCATGAGCAACCTGACTCGCATTGGCGACCACATGTCTTCAGAGCTTGGGAAGTTGGGCATGGTCATCTTGAGCCAGGGGCAAGGTTATGGTTTGCCTGTGGTGGCCTTCTGCCTACCCCCAAACAAGGGTCGTGTGTACGATGAATTCGCCGTAGCCCATCAGCTACGCGAGCGAGGCTGGATTGTGCCTGCGTACACTATGGCACCCCATTGCGAGAAGATGCAGATGATGCGTATTGTCATCCGTGAGGACTTCAGCATGAACCGATGCGATAGTTTGCTCCTGGACTTCAAACTTGCTCTCCAGACGTTGGATGCTATGGACAAATCCATGATGGAGAAGTATAGGATGTATGTATTTTCCCCTAGATATTTTGATTCCCATACTGACAGAACTAAAGGCATATGCAAATCCACCGCCACCACCCTCGGCACGAGTCGCGCATTCACCCTCACTACAAACGGGACACACACTCATTGCAGGCCAAAACTGGCAAGACACATGGCGTGTGTTGATTTTCTTAATCTATACCTCTTTAACGTTTCTTTGGAATATGGTGTGCATCAGGATGCTGATAGGGTAGTTTCAAGAATGAATAATCTTAGTGCCACACATCTGGGTTCCTATGACAAGATCTAACCCATTGGATCTACAACGACTAGTAGTATTTGGGCAGAAGTACAAAGAAAAGTTGGATGAAGTAAGGTCATACGAGAATGAATCGAAGAGTGGCACTGCGACTTTGACTGTTCTCCTTCTCAGCCTACTCATTTCTTTTGGGCTCTTGCTCCCTTACATCTATCGATTCACCTACATCAAATCATCAAAGTGTGAGAATAAATGGGCCGTATTCCAGATCAATTTACAACTTCTTCAGCTACAGAATTGTTGCGGGTGTCCAACCCCAGGACGCTAACTCCAACACTAACTTACGAACTAGATAGCTGCGGCTTAATCGAGGATGCCGACGGAAAAGGGAGATTGTGTTGTGCTTAGAAGCCTATTGCCCTGATCAATGACAGAGATTTGACTTCTCTGAAGACACGTATCGTGGCTTGTGATGTCACGTATGCGTAGGCCTGTAAAGAGTAGCCAAAGCCCTGCGATGTTTGTGCTTCCATCTACCCCCCAACTACGCATATACCATGAAGCGCATCTCAATTGACCCGAAGAGGAATAACCCTCCAACCCGAGATCTTCCAGTGCTCACTTCCACCCCGGCTCAACTTCCCCCAGCCAAGGCGACGAAGCTTCATCCATCCAAATCAGGCGAAGAGAATGCAGCGCTGTTCTTCGTGGGAACGGCTACAACAATCATGTCAGTTCACGTCAAAGAATTGATCACCCTATACTAAAAAAAAAAGCAGAGAATGGGCTGGAATACGGATTATGACTGATGTCAGCTCTTGATGGGAAGTCCAATGCTCACGAACTGACTGTATCAGCCCAACTTCCTCCACGCAGGCGACCATGTTCATCTCGGTCCAGGCGTGTCAAGTGAGCGCCTCACCGATCCGGCCGTCGACCTGCACGACGCTCCCTCGGATTGATCTTGTCCTTCTGTCCCACTATCACGAGTAGGTCTTGGAGTCTCGAGATTTTGATCAGATGATTGATGTTGCCAGGGATCACTTTGATAAAAAGGTCGAAGCTTCATTGCGACGTGACTTACCCATTATCACTACACCCCATGCAAAGGAGCATCTCACTTCCAAGAAGCAGGACCCATTTACATCTGTGTACGCCCTCGACCCATTTGAGCAAATTGAGATCAACATTGAGGGCACAGCAGGCCCAGGACAACCCGGACTACGTGTGACAGGAATGCCGGGAAAGCATGTACCTTCTAACCTAGTAGAGAAACTCAACTCGCTAGTCAATGTAGTAAGTGGAGTTTCTTTTTCCGGATGTTCCTACCTAACAGACCAACAGTTCCCACCAACCAACGGGTGGATGCTCGAACTAGGCCACAGCACCCACACTGCAGATATTTCCTGCGGTTATCGCATGTATATTTCGGGAGACACCTTGATGGCAGATGAGCTGCGTGAAATCCCAAAGCGATACGCAGGCCAACGAATTGACCTGATGCTCGCTCACCTTGGCGGCACCACCATTCCTTCTCCTTTAGTAGGAAGACTAATGGAACCGCTAGCGTTGATGGTCACCATGGATGCGGAGCAGGGTCTGCAATTAATTCAGCTGATCCAACCAGACGTGACTATCCCGATTCACTTTGATGACTACGATGTGTTTGCCAGTCCGCTAGAAGATTTCAAGCGTATCATGGAGGTGGCGGGGTTATTGGACAAGGTTGTATTTTTGGATCGCAAAGACCAATATTGCTTTCGAGTTATGGACTATTAGGATGTATCAAGTTTTTGTGTACGGAGTACGCGTGTCTGTGAGCTCAGCCTTGGATTTCGGGGGCCGAGAGTAGCTCACATATTTTGTCCTTCTTGGTATGGAGAATGGGACTTCATATACGAGTCATATAATTTGCTTCGCCCTCGAGAGCGGAGCCAATTCCAGGGAATTTGGGGGCTAGAAAATATGTCGAAGATGAGTTCGTATTTTACTTCGTGTTCATCTATCAAAAGTATTCGACCGATCTGGAGGAGATTGGTCTTTCTTTCAAATCTACTCGTTTTCTTTGTTCATTATCCATACATATCTGGCTAGGATATAAAGGAATGTCTACGTGGACCTTTCACCGTCTATAGTGATTGATTATATTGTATGAAATACTCTCATCTAAAACTATTAGATCTACATTGGAATCTATGTTGTCCATTCGAATTACTATACTGTCAAGTGCAAAGTCATTGTTTACCCCCTATATATAGAACAACCTCTCCCAATCATCGTCGACCCCAGATCCACCAACATCAGCCTCTTCCCCCCTCTCTCTTCCTTTCCCCCCTTTTTTTTGTCTCAGCGACAAGCAGTGATGCACCTCTTCAAAAGGAAATCGCCTTCGAGGAGTCATCATTCTATGCGTAGCGTTGAACAGTTGGCCCCCGCGTTGACTCCACCGGACCTCCCCACTGATTCAGACCGGCGCTTTTCACAATACGAGTATTCGGTTCCTGGCCCTGTTCAGAACCAGCCTCAGACTTTAAATCGGTCACAAAGTCAACGTCAGAAACCGTTACGTGGTCGACCCACTGTTAACGTTGTTGCCCCGGAAGATTCACGCAAAAAGGGCTTATTCTCAGTCGAGCGCATCTCCGTCAAGGGCAAACCAATCTCCCATCCCATCATCTCACAACCTGCCTCACCGGGGACTTTACACCCGGAGACCCTAGACGAATCCGACGAATTTCTGCATCTTCGAAATTCTTACTCGGAGAACCCTTCACCGGTCAACCCACCACAATCTCCCGCCTACCAACAGCAACACCCGGCTCAGCGAACTCCCCGACCATCGCATCCTGCTCACGCCCAAGACAACCCCGAGTGGTCACAGCAACCGGTGCAACCAATTTACCCCAAACTCCAGCGGTCCAATACCGAGCCAACCCTGCTCGAACAGTACGTCCGACCGTCGCCTACCGATATTGTCCCCGAATCACCACGACACGCGTCGGAACATCTTCATCGGGGACAGCCTGTACCCCCTACCCAGGATCCGGTATTGAATACCCGACCCCCATCCCAGCAGAGTCACGAGCCGCTTTCCCCGTTACAGTCCGTTTATCCTGACGCCATGCAGTCTTCCGCGCAGGCACAAACCCAAGGTCAATTTCAGCAGTTGGACAGACAAAGATCGGCAGGTTCGCCACAACAAGACCGTAATCAGCAAGACCGGAGTCAACAGGAGCGGAGTCGACAGAATAGTGTGTCAAACATGCCTGATCCCGGACGGAGCACACCCACCAATACACACCGCCGCGAGGATTCCGGAGAAGTGGACGTGCGGGCATTGATCCAGAAACATGATGAACTCCGTAAGAATCTTGATTCGGAATTTTGATTCTTGATCAGCTAACAATGACCAGAGGCCAAGTATTCCAAGGTGAAACGATACTACTTTGAAAAAGATGCGCAGGTTCAGCATCTCCAGAACACGGTAGCGCACCAACGAATGGCGGTGTCGCGTACCGTACTTGACGATAATGAATACACAAACCGATTCCAGCGACTTGATGGAGCGATTAAAGACCTGGCTTTCTCTGTGCGTAAAGACTGGCGCAGTATTCCGTCGTGGCTGAATGGAATGGTCACCGACGATGCTTTAGCGGTCGGCACGAAAGAAATGACCGCGGTCGGACGGGCGGTGATCAGCCGATGGCTAGTAGAAGAAGTCTTCCAGCGTTATTTCCATCCATCCTTGGATCCAACATTCAGCGTGCAGTTGAAAAATATCGAAATGAACCTGCGACGACAGCGACCGTCATCCGACGAGGACCGCGAGAATGCCTCCGCCAGGCTCTCCTACTGGCGCCGCACCACCTTCGACGGATTGACTGACTCCTTAGCCGGACCTGATGCCGCAGAGCATCGCATTAAGCTAGTTGAGCATTTAATCGTGGAACTCGCTGGCTTCCTGGGATCTCAGCTTCACGAAATCGCGCTGCCGGGTCTAGAAGCAAGTGTGCGTATGATCATTGAGAACTCAGTCAACATCATCGAGAAAATCCCCCTGGAAGCCCGTGATGTCTGCGTCGATTACTTTCCACCGGGAATTCCCCTTGCCGAGCAATACATGAAGGTCGAAGGCCAATTACCCACACTGAGCCACCCGCCTCCACCACCTTCAGATCAAGAACAGCTGGAGGAGCCTGCTGCGGCAGAGGGAGATGCGTCGTCTGGATCAACCACCGGTGTGATAGAGAGCGCCTCACAGGCACAGCAAAAGCCCTCGAAGAAGTCCTTATTTGGCGGGTTGATAAGCCGCAAGCATGCCGCCAGCGAGATCAGTCGTCCGGCGCCGGCGCATGGACCGACCGAAGACAAGAGTGAGCCTGTTGAGGTGACTCCAAGCGCCCCGCGCATTCGGTTCGCAGCGTTCTTGGCCGTCGAAGTGCGCGGCAAGGGCCCTGCAACGGTGCTGATCAAGTCACCGGTGTGGTTGGTGGAATAAACGGTGTATGAGTGCAGCTGGATTAGATTGGAAACCGCAGGGGCTCTATATCTATCACGGTGAAGGTTGTACATAGAGAATGGACAGAGCTGTCACATGCTGGCATGGCGACGAAGATCACTTCCAAGCTAATACCCGTTGAGATCCCACGGCATTTCAGTTCAGCGGTGGTTGCAGTTGGAGGCTGGGATCGAAATTCCTTTTTCTTTTTTTTTCTTTGCCTTGATGACTAGAATCTGTGATTCTGCTATGATTTTGTTATGATTGTGCTTTTTTGAGTAGAAAGTTCTTCGATTCGATGTTTTTTAGCGGCAGTCTTCGCCATCTCATATTCCTGTTCTTCAGTCCATTACCTCCACTCCATACCCAGATACACCAATCCCTTCAGTTTCATATACCTAACACATTAAAATCAACTCCCTACAAAGGCGGCGGCGCCAAATCCAACCCCTCAACCTCCAATTTAAACGCATCATTCCGTGAATAACTCCCAGCAACATCAAGGTCAAGCCGACCACGCTCACAATCGTCAAGATCAATACGCGCAATAGCTAGTCCATCACCCGCCGCAACAGCGGGCCGAGGTTCAGTAGCTGATGTTCCCGGCGCGCAATCAGTCACAGCAGCATCGCTACTATCCGACACGTCATCCGTGCAAACTTCCCACAACGGACCGACGATAGTCTCTCCAAGCGGCGAGACAATACAACTTCCACCACGACAAACATACTCCAATTCCGAGCCCGAAGTAGCGACTGACTGCTTAGTATTCGATGTGGAAGAATTCCCCGACGGACCTTGTGCCTCACCCTGTCCCTCACCATGAGTCTGCGGCCAGACAATCTCATGCGGACCTTCAGAAGTGACAGACAATTTCCTTTCCGGATCTTGCGTAGAAGTCTTCGGATCCAGACCTGTTGGATTTAAATTCCGATTCGGGCCTGGTCCGGTAATCCACTCCGGCAGCTCGGAGGGACGCACGCACTGATTCGCCGAGAGCACGAAACAGCGGCCTTCTATGCCGACGGTGCGCATGAGCGGGAGCCAAGTATCGCGGGCGTCGGCCGTGGGAGCGAGATAGATATTCACGTTCTGGGAGTACAGACTCTGACGTAGGAGGGGCATGTAGTTTTCCCAGCAGATTGCCGATGCTAGGGTCAGTGGGATACCGTTTAGGGTTGTTGTTACAGCGCGGAGGGTTGAGGGTGAGCCCTGGGCCCAGATCATGCGTTCGGCAGCCGTCTACAAAGGTCAGTATATAGATGATAGAATAACAGAACAAGGAGAGGAAGGAAGGGAAGGAGTGATGTAGGAAATCCATACCGGCATAACCTTCCTCCTCTTCCCAATAACACCCCTAACAGGATCAACATAAACAACAGCACAATACAAACTACCCCCCGCTCTCTCTACCAACCCCGTAGCGAAAAATACACCCGTATCCCTCGCAACACGCTCAAGAAACTCCCTCGTCCCGTCGCCCCGGAACCTCTTTCCCTCTGCGACATCCAGTTTGCGTTCAATCCATTCATCGCCGGCTCCGGCTGGTGTATCGCCTAGATCGATGGCTGCCTTGAAGTACGCGAGGAATTGTTCCCGGCCGCGCGGGTGTCGACTTCCCACTGCGGAGCCGAAGGTGCATGTCCGCGGGTACCCGCCTAGATAGGCTTCTGGGAAGAGGAGGAGGTGAACGCCGCGGCGGGCGGCCAGGGCAGTTGTTCGTTCGAGGGCGTGGAGGGTTTCTGGTAGGGAATTGTGTGTGCGGGATTGGGCGACTGCTACTGTGAGGGAGGGCATTTTGGGATTATTGGGCTTAGGGCTATAGTTGGGAAGAAGAGAGGAGAGGTTGGACTCGACAATGACGAAATAGCTCTGGAGGGAACCTTGGCTTGGCTGTGGGGGATCCGTGAACTTTGTATCGAGGCTGGACTTCTGTTGTAGGTCTCTATCAAAGAGTAGTCAATTTGTGTTATAGGGAGATGGTGGATGGTGTGTACATGTATACGAATTGCTTGTCTTTTTAGGAAAACTAGGGCTTTCCTACATGACGGTCTAGAAGAGATATCAGATTAGTCCAGTACAAATGTAAATCTGTAGGTCTCCTGCGGACAGATGCAAAGGTTCATTGATTCATTCCTGAAATAAAATGGCAAACCATGGAGGTAGAAATCCATCTTGGATGATCTATCTGGCGGACACCAGGAGCGAGCCGGGTGATCCAAAAGAAGATCAAAATTAGCCCTACCTTCCTGCTCCTACCCATTAGCTACTTTCGCAGATCTGTAGGGTTGAGTACACCATCCTCTTTTTTCCTTCATTCTTCCCCATCCGCTGATTACATAGAACAAGAGTACAAAAACCCAATGGCAGTCTGATTGTATGTTGTATCTACCTAATGTGAATCCAAAATAGCAATGTACAGGGCAAGACACCCAACCCGGGGGACCAAAAGCACAACTATGTACAAAATAATTCATGCAGTCACAATCGACCCGCATGGAAAGATGCAAATTGGGGAAACACGTCCCGGGTATAGCGCGCCTCACAATTAAAATGAGAAATGTAGAAAATCAAAGAATATGAACATCACCGAAAAGAAAAAGAATGGAACCCGAAATAGAGGTCGGGAATGCCGCAAAAAAGTGAAAAAAAGGTGCTGAAACGCAAGAGAAATGCAGATTTAAACAAATTTGCGATCAATAAGACATTTTCAAGGAATTTTTAAGCCGATAGTTAGATTCACGAGATTCACGAAAACCCAAATTCCGTGATCTATGCAGACAACCCATTGGCAGTAGCAGCTTGCTGGAGCACACGGGGCCAGCGCGAGATGAGCTCGACATCGTCGAGAGCACCCTTGCCCTGGTTGCGAATGTACTGGGTGCTCGGGTCAATGCGTGGCTCGTAGTCCCAGACGGTGTGGGTACCCTTGATCAAAGCGGAGTAGACTAGACGGCGGCGGCGCTGGGAGCGCAGGACATCTTGGTGAATCTTCTCCATATCCCAACGAGAATGGGTTTCCTCGAGGAAGAATGCCAGGATCTTAGCAGGGTCCGTGGTGTTGGGCATAGCGGGTGGGACCTTGGCGGGGCTCGGAGTGCGAGGGGGAGTGTTGGAGGGGAATGGGTAGTCTGTTGTGTGGGCGCGCTGGGGGATTGGCGATGCATGCGGGGTGTCGTCTGGAGTTGGCAGGTTGATGGCTGAGGCCACGGTGGGCTTGGCTACGATAGCTGCGCGGGTAGAGCTGGATGGGATAGATAGGCCGGCTGCAAGATTGGTCCTCTCCTCCGGGTCGTTGACAAGATCGTAGAGCATGGGTGGGTCGATGGTCGAGTAGACGAACTTCCAGCGGCCGCGACGGATCATCATGAGAGGAGCCTGGGTGCCCTCGCCCATGTACTCGCCGTAGACGGTATCAGTGCGGAGACCTTCACCGCCGGTCAAATACGGCACGAGAGAAACACCATCGAGAGGAAGCTCGGAGATGAGTTTGGCGCCTGCCAATTCGGCGAACGTTGGGAGGAGGTCCATGGTAGAAACATTCTCGGACACGCGCTTCGGGGCGAAATGCTTGGGTGAGTGAACGAGGAAAGGAACACGAGCCGAATTCTCGAACCAGGTCATCTTGTACCACAGACCGCGCTCACCGAGCATGTCACCGTGGTCACCGGTGAAAACAATGATGGTGTCGTCGGCCAGTCCGGTGTTTTCAAGAACACGCAGGAGCTTGCCGATGTTGGTATCAACGTATGTGCAGGCAGCATAGTAGGCGCGACGAGCCGCACGAATGCGCTCATCAGGCATTTCCTTGTTGAACAAGTCGATACACTTGAGCACGCGCTGGGAGTGCGCATCCTGCTGGTCGTGGGGGATAGCTCCGTTCTTGGGCAACGGGATCTCGACATCATTGTACAAGTCCCAGAACTCCTTAGTCATGGCATAAGGGTCATGAGGGTGGGTCATGGAGACCGTCAAGCAGAAAGGTTGCTCGTTGCGCTGCCGAACATGGTCGTACAGGTATTGGGTTGACTTGTAAATTACCTCTTCATCGAAATCCAATTGATTGGTGCGTACGACGGGGCCTGCTTCCATCACGGAAGACATGTTGTGATACCAGTCGGCACGGATGTCCTACATTTTAATTAGTACGATGTCGCCAAGGGTTCGTAAAATTGACGTACAGGCTCATCCCAATTGACGGACCAGCCGTAATCACCGGGGTAAATATCACTGGTCAGACGCTGTTCATAGCCGTGAAGCTGGTCCGGGCCACAAAAGTGCATCTTTCCAGCCAAAGCTGTGTGATATCCCTCCCGCCGCAGATAGTGGGCATATGTGGGGGTGTCCGCGGGCAGCTCCGCCGCATTGTCGTATGCTCCAATTTTTGAGGGCAACTGGCCGCTAACCATTACAAAACGCGAGGGAGCACACAGGGGTGAGTTGCAGTAAGCCGAGTCAAAGACCACGCCGCCGTCTGCGAGGCGGTCTAGATTAGGGGTCTTAATGGGAGAATTCTTGTCATGCAGGGACAACAAGGGTGCAGCCATTTGATCGGCCATAATGTAGAGGATGTTGGGCTTTTTGGTCGCCATGATGAATATTTGATTCAATGGCCAATATGTAGAGAAAATTGAAACTAAAATATGGGAGAGAAAGAGAAAAAAAAGAGAGGGCGAGTGGGTGATATATGAGGTTGAGGGAGAATGTGGGGAATAAAGGAGAAAAGATTAAAAAAAAGATAAAAAAAAAAGACCAAAAGGGGAAGAAAACGAGAGAAGTCCAAAGAGCCAGAGATCGGAGCCATCGGGACTAAAAAGAACACATGAAAGGCCAAGACGCAAAAAAGTAATGTAATTTCCCGATACACAGCAGATAATCTATTCAGTACTCCGTTATCTTCCTTGACCGTCAACCCTGCAGAGTGTACTTGGTACATTGTGATCCCAAATTAGTATACAGTAGTTCCCGCCTGCAACGAAGATCAGGGGAGATGATCCGGTACTGACGTACTCCCCGCAAGATGGGATCATTTGAAGCATCGATGGTGTGATTGTGTGTATGGTAATGTATATAATACCGAACTAGATGTTTTCTACCTCGAGTACATCATAAACTTGCTCCCCAGCTGCACAATAAGATTCTCGTTATCTTCTATGAGCAATATTCAGATTGCAAATGACAAAGGCCAGTCACAAGATCAGTGAACTTTTATCAATTCTAGGTAATTGAATCCCATCGGGGCAAATGCCGAGTCGCCACTTTACAGGCATAGGGGTCGCGTGTGGTCCAGGTGTTGCATCTGTCACATTGGGGGAAATTCACAATACCACCACAATACCAACCTTGCATGTAAAACCAGAACCCATCTCAGCCCCTTGAGCCCCATAATATCAATTCAAAGATATCCTGTCAAAGTCGGGGGTTTCAATATCAAGGTAATCTTCAGTGCAGTTCACACGCGCACTCGACCCCGGAGTGGATAACGGCATCGACAGCCCACGCCCACGGCAGCGTTTCCGGTGTGACAGGTTCTTGTACACACTAGCCTATTCCAGCCTAGTAAATCCCGAAGCCGACCATTAGTCAAATCTTGGGCTCCACAGGATCGTGTCATTTCTGTCTAAGCCAATCAATTCAATCCTTTCTTCCCTAGCATAACCCAATAAGGTTAGAGGCGAGGCTTAGGGGCTGAAGTTCCACTTGCTTATCTTGACGACCAATCAAACCGCATGATTTGGCACTACCGGGGAGGAAAAAGAGATATCGTGAGGACCCCAAGACAACGACGGAGGAGCTCCCCGGTGGGCCGCTCATCCTCTTGGCTTTTCTATTTTTCTTCTATCGATTGTTCCAACCGTTTTCATAAAGAAAAAGGAATGAAACAAGGGGACCAGGTGTAATGTATCATAGCTCCACAATGAGTAATCTCCCTTTCCGAGCACGCCATGAGAAGCGGTCTAAGATCACCCCCGGACTATAATGCTTACGTACAAGGGAGGCGAAACACAGTCACCGCTGTTTCTTAGCATAGGCTCCGTCCACCTCCAAATCCACCTGCATTCATATCGTATGCACGGTGATTGCCATATGTCCGATTTACTCCACATGGCCACGTCTACATTGCGATAAATGTATCTCAGACCCGAGAGCTGTTGAAACTATGACTACTCCGTACAAGCTAGGTGCTTACCGTCATTCACTAACACATAAATGCAAAAGTAGTCAGAACAAACACACCAAGGCAATCTACGTAATTCGAAAAAATACTAGTGAACTACCCCAAGCGTCAGCTTCATATATTATAATCAGAGACAGAGAATGAATCGTTTAATAATGCATGTGTACAATTGAAATATACAAAATCTCAATGTCAATGATGTAGAAGAACGTGTACTCATATGACAATGTCAAGCCCATTTGCGGACACCTCGATTTGTTGAAGCTAGACATCATTGCAGGAATCATCTTGAACGAAGATGATCTGAACGCGACTAATTGTCTGGTCTCGCACAGGACATCAACTGTGATGCTCTTTCTCCTCCTTCTTGCACGTCTCGACCGCAATGGCGCTATATTCAAACCCATAGAAATCGTAACTAAAGCTAAACAGCAGCAAGACATTGACTCCCCTACCACAACCTGATACCAGAGTCTTCCGTCTGTAAAGCTGGTCCTGTAAATCCTAGGCAATGGACCAACTGCTGATTGCACGTGGATTTGATAATCTCTGCTTCGAGGGTAGGCTGTCACCTTTACCCCGTAGTGCAGCCCAGCCTTCGACATTTTCGTCGCCCCTAATATTGGGAATATGACCCTGGGTGTCTTTCGAATCGATATGGAGTTGGCCAGCCATTTTCGGTGGTTGTATCGTTGATGCGTGGCGAAAAGCAGTTGTCGCATCTGACTTGATGCTTTGCGGCATCATGGACAACCTGACGCAGTGGAACTGTCATGAATTTAGTATGAAGGTACTGGAAAGTGTAGCGTCAAAGGTGAAAGACTTGAGTACCAGGGACCAACCCAAACGGATGACGAACCCCTCCCATAAGGGGACCCCCTAATACCTAACCCCCTAGGTAACACCTAGATGATCTCCAATAGCCCTACCCCTGCGCTGACAACTTAAGGTTATCAAATCAATGGTCGGGCCTCCAACTAGAAAAACGCCCTACCCCCACCCCCTCTCCGGTAGAAGAGTCATATAGGGTGCTTATAGTCTTACTGGCCATTGATTCGTGCTTTTATAAAAGTCTCTGATCGGGTAGGAGGTGGGGGTAGGGCGTTTCTAGAGGCAGGACTAATGAATTAATAGCCTTTACTATGTCGAATTAATAGCCTTTACTATGTCGCACATCAACATCAAATGCCCGAGTCTAACCGATCTGATGTATAGATGTACGACCCCGCCTTTTAGATTCCAGATAAGAGTCATATTTGACATCAAGAACTTGAGACTACATCTTTTTTCTGGCGGAAATTCTATTTTTGCAGGACAATGACATCTCAGAAGACAAATCTCTCTGATAGAGGCGAGGTGTTTGCCGAGCCGAAGAGCAAGATCCCGTTATTGGACGTTGTCTGCGACCTGAGGGACCCGGAGACGAACCCTGGCGGATACGTTAGTCTGGGTGTGGCCGAGAACGTAAGAAATTGCTTCTGGAGGGAGTTTCAACCGCTTCTATGACTGACCCTGTACAGACTCTGATGCACGAGGAGATCATTGAGCATATGACCAAGAATGTGAGTGACCTCGCTCATCGCGAGTTATCACTATGTGCTTCGCAATAGGTTGCTACATTTATATGGGTTGATCATGTTGTATGTGCTCATTTTACCGAATAGTTTGCCGTCAAGAGCCACTCTTTAACTTATGGGGACGGGTTTTCCGGTTCCCACCGTCTTCGAGAGACGATTGCAAGATTCATCACTCGTCATTTCAATCCTGTCAGGCCAGTTACAAAAGACCAGCTTCTTATCACCTCTGGCGTGGGTCAGGCGATTGAACTTTCCGGCTTCTGTCTCTTGGACAAAGACGATGGCGTCCTGCTTGCCCGCCCGCATTATGGTAATTTCCCTATTGATTTGGGCTATCGAGTCAGGTAAGTGACTGGCATCCGGATAATCGTGATGATAAACCAGCTGAATATAATTTAGAGCTAAGATTATTGGCGTTTCCTTTGGGAAAACGGATCCTTTCAATATTGAGACGGTTGACATCTACGAGAAGGCTCTTGTGGATGCCCAACACCAAGGGATTCGTGTCAAGGCCTTTTTACTATGTAACCCACAGAATCCCTTGGGTAAATACAAAGTATCAGATATCTTACACATCTTCTGATCCAATACGATAGGTCGTTGCTACACTCGCGAGGTCCTCGAGGCCTACATGCGATTCTGTCAGAGGCATAATCTACATCTTATCTGCGACGAGATCTATGCTCTATCAACTTGGAAGAACCCAGACTTTCCTGATGCCCCTGGCTTTACGTCAGCCCTGTCTGTTAAGAAAGATAGTCTGATTGATCCAAGCCTCGTGCATGTCCTTTGGGGGATGAGCAAGGTCTGTATCTCGGCTATATTGACTTAGTGGGGTATACTGACTTAGATATAGGATTTTTGTTCCAATGGTATCAGACTTGGCTGCGTGATCAGTCAGGACAATGTGCATTTTCTCCGTGCTGTCGAAGCGAACTCCTATTTCTCTTGCCCTTCATCTCTATCAGACTTGGCCACCTCCCGCATCCTCTCTGACGATGCCTGGGTGGAATCCTTTATACAAACAAATCGTGAACGCCTAACGGAAAACTATACCTTGACAATTCGGTTCCTGGAAAGCTATCGGATCTCTTATAAGAAAGGTGGGAATGTCGGCTTCTTTGTTTGGGTTGACTTGTTTGATCCTATCCGAAGACAAGTAAATGCCACTCTTGAAAAACAGGTAGATGCAGGTGTACCATCTGAACAAGCCGCAAGAGCCCTCGAGACTAAACTCCAAGAGATTTTGCTGAAACACAGGATCTTCCTCGCGCTGGGAGCTGACTTTGGTGGTGATGTGCCCGGTTGGTACCGGATCGTCTTCGCTCATGAGAAGGAGTATCTCAAGCTAGGATTGAGTCGTATGATTGAGGCTCTTGCAGCCTTTCGAGGCGAACTCGACACAGATTTGCTGGAGTGAGTGTCACACGGCGTGTCATATGTCCCGCTATAGGTCTATGTCCTCTATTTCCCTCTACAGCCATTCGGTATATAGTATCAATATGAAGTATTGGATCCTTCTCCATGCTTCATTTCCAAGAATTCCGCTCGTTAGAATTTAAAATATCAAGCTAGAACAAGACCTATTATCTCGCTACAAATTCCTACAGTCGGAGGCTTCGTATAGGTTATTGACATATTAATTTATTCCGACGCAGCATTAGCTATACAGATGGCTTTGCTAAGTCATTAGGCGCTAAAGCTTTCAGTCGCTTTATAGAGAAACTAGTATTCTGACCAAGTTTTGATATCAAGAACTGAAGTCTGGTCTAGCTACTTAGGCAATTTCATATCTGCTGGAATGCCAGATGTCTATTTGCCGGAGGCTTTTAGCTGAGGTCAAAACTCTTTTGGTGTCCACAAACGCAATTTTTCATTTTCTGTTCCTTATGTTTTGCTTGATTGTCCAAGAACATCTGATGTAGAAAATCCACCTCCAGCTAAACCACCTTGACCTCCTCCACCGTGGGGGCAAAAAGGAAAGTGTCTTTGCAGCCCACCCCAAATCTACCGTTACCGACGAGTCGTCTTCTAAAAACTGATCCTCTCCCTTGCAAAATCTTGTTATCACAACCTCAGCCTCACCAATCATCGGCACCACACTCATTTTGAGGCTCATGCTGAGGCTCATGCCAATCGTCCGTGGGCCCATCCTCGGGCTCATTCCACTCAGGTTCACTCCAAGTCTTGTCACGAGGGACCGGGGCCCATTCATTTGTAGCACAATCATCCTGAGGCTCCTGCCAATTGTCCGTAGGCTTATCTTCAGGCTCATCCCACTCGGGATTGCTCCAAGACTCGCCACGAGGGACCAAGGCCCAAGCCTTCTCGACCTCAGGGGTTATCAAATATTCGAGTGGCGCCCCCGGGTAATCCCAACCTTGATCGTACCATTCTTCGGCGTTTTGTTCATACCAAGGCAGATTCTCAGCTCTCCGACGCTCCTCTTGGACAACCCAAGGCTCGAAAGGGCGATATGACTTGAGGTAAGGCACACGGTTTTTGGATGATGGAGGTCTCCATTCGGGGTCGATTTTGCCATCTTTCATTGGTTTCGCCAGACTCCAGACTTTACTACGCCACATCTGGCCGTATCTTGGCCCGTAGATGTGCTCGAATGGGAGTACTTTGATGAAGTGATCCGCGATGTCTCGGCAGGCGAGTGCATCCTCGAGGCTGTCATGACCTAGGCCTTGCTGGATGTTGCGGTTCAGAATCTCCTTCGCGTTCTCTTTCAAGGAAGCTTGAGCAAAGAGCATGGTGTCGACAATTCGTTGGTGAATGATTCGCAAAGCCAACATGTCTGCTCGTCCACCATGGACCACTAGAACAGTGTTGGGACCGACGTACCGAAACAACGCTTCACGGGCTGCATCTCGACCGATGAATGCTTCGCCTCGACTCTTGGCTGCGTATAGCATTTCCCAGTTGACACCGGAAAACCGATAATTAGTGTGCCACATCCGGACTTTGGGAAAGACCAACTTGTCGATCAATTTCTCCCCGGTAAAGTAGTCAATGGCGCTAATTCGAAGGAGCTCTTGTTCGCCCAGGTCAGTGATTCCCATCTCACAATCAAGAGCGACAGCATAGCGGTAGTCAACGGGGAATTTTGGGGCTTCGTGTAGCTCCCAGTTGATTTTCCAGGCCTCCTCATCTTTAACAATCTTGTGGTCTTTAAACTGATGGCAAGGACGGGAAAAAATGCCTTTCTTGCAACAAGTGAATACCTAAATAATGATGCTAGGTCAGCCATGTTTGATAAATGCTTAGGCTAATAGTACCCAATGTTGATTTTCAGAATGCCGAATGCCAGCCAACGCTTTTCTTCTATAGAAAAGCGGGACAACCCTCAACATCTTATGGGCGAAAAAGAAGAGAGAAAGACCACTCACTTGCCACTTGCCTACCGGCTTTCCAGGATGTCCCCAGCAGCCGTACTTGACTGCACGCTTGCCCTCCTTCGCCGCTTGTCTCTTCTTCCATTTGGCGACCATGTCCTCTGTCCAGTAGATCTTACCAATGCACTCATCAGTAAGCTCGTCGATGATGTCCTCCTTGTACGATCCGACCTTCGGCGGTTCGTCGGGTGCTTGTCTAGCACGCCTTGCCTGGTCTTCCTCATGCTGGCGGATGGTCGATTCATTTGCCAGGAGTTGAAGCCGCCTCGGGCCCCACATTGCGACTAAAAAAGTAATCGTCAGCGATTCTGTGTTCAATGGAGAAAGAAGAAAGGACATACATCGACATTGCTTGCATCGTTCCTTTTCAGAGGAGTACATTTGGGCCATTTGATAGCCACGTGTAGCCTCTGGGAGAATTGCTCGATCCCAGAGTCGGGTCCAATAGTCCTCAGTCCAGACAATTGGAGGTAAGTCAGGGAAAGGACCCAAGTTGGGGTCCTTTGGGACACTTCGACATTGGGTCCGCGTGTCCCGCCGTGTCCAGCACGGCGGCTCAACCTTAACGAACTTCTTGACCTCTCTATGCCAAAGCTCAAGGTCAATATCTTTCAAATTGTAGGAGCTCAGAGTGAATCTGTTCTCGGAGTCCTCCCCCTTTTGGTTTGTGTCAGACGACATTTTGAAGTGAGAAAATGTGTCGAATGTAAGTTAAACGCAAAATCTGTTGGATCAGCGAATGAGTAAGAAAGTAAACAAAAGACTCGGAGAAATCGGTGATTAGACTCATTTATATATGATTTCCGGCAGTGGTTCTGGTCTGCCTTTTGAGCAGCCAGGCATCGAGAGTCATAATGTGAAACCCTGAGCAGCACCGCTCGCTGCCTTTGACCATGAAAGAGCGGGTGAAAGTTGAATGAATCAGTGATTGAATTCACTAGTAGAGCGGTGCGGGCAATAGGCATCGAGGATCATGATGTGAATCCCCGAACGACACTGCTGTGTTTGACTGTGAAGGAAGATGTGAACGTTGAATGAACAAAGGAGTCGTTGCCTGACCAAAGGGCCTGAAGTCACGTTCCACAAAGAACGAGGTGATCATGGTTCCCAGACCCCAAATGGGAGACAACGAGACTGGGATGTAACGAGAATGAGAGGTAGCGATATCCTCAAGTGGACTTACTGTTATGCAAGTAATGTATGTTGCTCAAAGCTTGAAACCCAAAGAAAGTCTTGAAACTCGAAGTTCTCAAAGAGGTTGAAGGATGAGAAAGGAGGAAAGAGAGATCAAGCACCGAGGAGGTTATTTATACACAGGACCTCGGAGGAGGTCGAGGAACAGGAAGCAAAAAGTTCGCTGGAACTGAGAACGTGAGACGATGGGTCTTTTCCTACTACATCTGATTTACTTCCTTCACATCAAGCTTGTCTATCCTAGCGATATGATACTTTGACTCTAACTGAGATAGCCAGCCGTTTACTGAGTGATAGGGCTTATATTCCTCGTCTGCATATATTGATCTCAAATAGTCCACATAATCATGCTTTGATGTGTTTGGTGGCCTAGTGTGTAACTTACCTGATGAGGCATGCTCATCAATCTAGATACATGCATAGCAAGACGAGCTGTATATTTGCTTTACAGGATGTCGATATGCTAGGTGAAGCTCGGTCCTCAGATTCGAGTGACATGACAATACAATGGGAACTGAAGGAACTGATGAGTACTCAAATTTAAGCATGGATTTGTAATGAAACTGCCTTGTGCGAACCTATACGAAATGTAAAAAATCTGGCGCATGATAGGCTTCCATCAAGGCATCAGATAAAAATAATGGCTTACTGAGCACGGATAAGAAACAAGAAAGAGAAAGAGTGGCTTGTGCTTGTGTTCAACACAGACGCGGGAAGCAAAGGCTCAAAATTTGGACGGCCAGAAAATGCAGAAAATAGGACACTATACGCCGTGGTGGTAGATAATTTCACCTATGCTTATCGGAAAGATCAGGTCGTGAAGAGGTAGATGTTGGGGAAACAAGAAGTCTCTGGATTGGAGGGGTTAAAGAAAAGGAGCGCGAACGTTCAATCGACCTTGATGGCACTGTGAAATCCTCAAGATTAGCTTGTTGTCTGTCAAACTCAGTGGAGTAGTCTTACCTATAAACACGCCGGACGAACGCATACGCGGCCAAGAAACCAACGGTTCCAGTTAACAGGCCATACACAGCGCAAGCGAGGAAGCTGTAGCTGAAAAATAGCAGGCTTGACACGAATCCGGTAATGTGGAGCTTGAACATGTAATACCAGACGCAGTAGGCAAAAATCCAAAAAGCGCTGCTGCCGCCAGTCAGGAAACTCTGCCACCACCAATGATAATTCTAAGGAAGTCAGTATAGCAATCCATAACCCAAGCCAAGGACAGACTTACCTCGGAGCAAAGTTGGCTGTATGTGGCGATCACAGTCACCTCGACAACCGTGACAATCAGCACGGTCGAGACAACACTCAGGAAGCCGAATACATAGTAATAGCCAGACTTGTCCTGCCACAGATTCTTGAAAAGGAATAACAGCTCAATAAAGAGAACCGCAAATGGAATGAGGCCAGTTACCACAGGACCGAGGGGGCTGCGGAGATACCAGGGCTGGGGTGGGACTTGGCGGGCAATCGCATTCGTCTTCAGAGGGTGCTCCCATGGCGCCGCACGCACATATCCCACCCAACCGCCAATGTATACCAAGGGAACTTGGATAAGGAGCCAAAGTGCAAGCAGGCCGACCAGAGTGCTGAAGGGAATTGCCGTACTGGATGCTTGAGCCCAGACAAACAAATTCAAAATCAACACGAGGCAGAATGTCAGACCAGGGAAGAGCAGAGCAGTCTAAAATAATAAATTAGCGTAGCACATAGATAACTGGGACGAGATACGCACGATTAGCGTGTTTTTGCGCCAAGCGGATCCGCTAAAGGTTTTGTAAAGTCTCCCTGAGAAGTAACCGGAGAAAAGGCCAGCAAAGACGAACAGGCCCATACCGACGCTAACAAAACCACCACGGAAGCTGGGGTTCAAAACCCCCAAACAGCTGAGCAGAAGCAAGCCTGAAGCCATGAACAACAACTGCATTCCAGATCCAACCAAGGGGGCAAGAAGACCACTATAAGCGGGGGTACGGAACACATCCCCATGGAGAAGCTTCCAACCACTTGTATCTTCGAGAGCCTCATCGTCCGAGGAGAAGTCTGCATCGCGCTCCACATCCGCGCTGTCGTCCAGAAGTCCCTCGCCTTTTTTCTCGCCAGACTTGCCGCTCCGGCGACGAGATTGGCCCTTCATTTTCCGATCATCCATGGCACCATCGCCGCGGCCCTTAAGGTCGCCTTGCACTGTGCGGCTCCAGATGACGAACACGGTCACTCCCAACACGGTGCAAATTGTCAAAGAGTTGATGATCGCCAGCCAATGGGTTATCGAACCTTCGCCTTGGTTGGTAAAATATAAATCCCAGCGGTTGGCCCACTCAACTTGGGTGTCCTCTCGGAAGTAGACAGAGTAGGTGTAAGGAACCTTTAGTGTGGTTCCATCATCATCATCCTCGTCATCATCCGGAATATATGACAGTCCGGAGTACTTTTCTTGCATCCGCGAAAGGTCGGGCGCGATATACAACCCCAGTCCTTCGTTGTTATTGTGAAGAGATTTGGGGCATCCATTTTCCAAGCGGTCCTCGGCGGTAATACTTTTTGGGTACACCTCGAAGCCTACGATCACCTTCCCTCCTTCGGGCGCGCTCCGCCAGCGGATGACGATCGTGAAGTGGTTGTTGATAAAATATCGATGCTGCCCAGTGACGGGAGAGATGTCTCGATAGCCAAGCTTGAATCCGGAAGCGTAATACTTGCGGCTTCGATCCACTGTCACGAAGCTCGTGGCTCCTGGGAGGTTATCGGCAATCCATTCGATCACATATCCCTCCTTGACGAGCTGACGAGCCCATTTCACATCTGACCGACTAAGATCGCGGGTGCAGAGTGACTGACACTCAACATCCTTTCCCATCGCAAGTTCAAAGTCGGAGGTCATGATTCGATCACCACGCAGTACCTCCCCAATATTGAGCGAAATGCTTTGGCCGGATCCAAACGGGGAACCGCCATGTGTCTTGCCGCTTGGCGGGCATACGAAAGGCAGGTCGAAATAGGCATACTGCAGCTGGGTGTGATCGGAGAAGATTTTGTTCACGAGAAGAGGGATTGGATCATTGTCATTATATCGGGTAACGGAGTATCCTGGTTTGAGGGAGCAAGATGTAAGTATCATATGTTTAGTCCAACCAAAATACGCTTCGGTGCTTACCCGGGATGTAGAATGCCCTGACGCAGGACACGAGCAGCAGCACCCACAGCGCCCACTGACAGGAACAGGATTGACCCAAGGCCATGTTCAATAGACGTAAAGAGATCTGTTTTGTCCTTGACCCGGAGTAAACGGGCAGTTATCGAACCAGCATGTACACAAAAGTATGGAGGGTTGTACGTCGGTGGATTACGGTGTGTCGATCCGCAAAGGTCAAATCAAAGCGAGTGGGCCAATAGTGACTATGTCGTAGGTAGTAGCTTGTTCAAGCGATTCTTTGCGGGGATGATCGATGGACAGTCCGACGGTGGATGATCTTGGAAGTGTGTTGGATGGTAGATTGCCAATGGTCGGATTGCTTCAGTTCGCCTACAACCTGCCAAGGAGCAGATAATTAACGAATGAAACTGGCACTTAATGCCACAGTGATATATGTCGAAAGAGGGATTGGAGCAACTGTTGGGAGCTTGGAGTCCCCTTCGCGCTCCCCAGCGTGTCCCCGGATTACATCAGCATGCCACGCGTACCTGGGCAAACGGGGCCAGGGAGGTCCGTCTGCGGACAAATGGACGAAAACAAGAGTCAGCTTTACATATCTCTAAAAGGATCATCGTGAAACTTGTAAAATACATATTTTTGACTTGCCTACGGATACAAAAATAAGACTGCTACATGTACTGTACGATATATATACGGAGCACCATGCTCTCATACCCTCTTGGAAATCTAAATCACACACGCCAAGAGCATAAGAATCCAATCATATAACGGATGTCAAATAAGCTATTCCTTGGTGCGCTCGACTGCTTCTCATTGGTAATATCCATATCTTGAACGTTCCACTGCGAAGAAGCCGGCCATGAACCATCAAGGGGAAGATATTTCAATATCTCTCAAATCCCGTCGAAACTGCGCAAGGGCCAAGTTTCGATGCATTCGTCATGAGGGCACCGGGATTCGCAACCAGTAGGTCAGTTGAAAAGATCGTCAACTCTCAATATCTGACTGGCTAGATGCGGCTGGGGAAATCCTCCAGGTTACCTTTCGAGTCAAGACACAAGATGACCGTGTTACTGCGCTGTAATGAGTAATATCTCAGAAGAATTAGGAAATATCCCTACTCTTCCAGAGTTTACTCGTAGAAACTCGGTATCTAGCTCCGAATCGAAATATTCTACAACAACCACAGCTGGGAGTCAATATAGGGGATATCAAGGGTCTTCGGCCTCTGATCTAAAAGTAATGTCGGCAGTTAAAATGGGAAAAGTGGTCATATACATAGTACGTAAATAAAGCCCTTCATCATTTGCCCTTTCTACTATTCTGTATCTCGTCCTCAAATTTCAAAAACATATCAATATGGTCATGGATTGTCCCGACGATAGATCTTGGTTTCCCTCTTACTACAGCGTCGGCGCCACGAGTGGGATAGGTTTTATCCTTGCCCACTTTATGACACAGTGGTATTTATGCCGATACCGATATGATCTCTTGCCTTATCCCGGTTCAAGCCAGACGAGTGATCAAACTTCGAATGCTCGCAATGCTCCATATATCAACGAACCATCTACTAGTGGGACAGAAATGAAACAGTACATGTCCAGACCTTACAAGATCTCGAAACTCGAACGTCGGACCGCCACAATCAAGATCACATCTGCAGTCGGACATGAGATACAAATGCAGCTACAATGAGTCTTCAATGACTGGAATGACTTGATGTGTGTTTTGATCCTGATTTTTGCTGTGCTTTGCTTGATCGAAGGGAAACCTACCCTAGAAGAAGAGGGTTTCATTGATGACTTTAGCACGGGCACTCACACAGTATGATCGGACATTCTATGGGCAAGATGGTGCATTGTAGAGCTGGACACGCTGTTCATTCTATGGGAGTCGAACGGTGTGATCATAGTGGGACAGTTGAGAATTCCAAATGCTCGGATCGTACCTTCACCCATAGATTGAGGGCAATGATATTGCAATTAAAGCCCAAGTCAATGTAGATCTACACCGGTCTTGCCGCTACTAGAAATCTCTGACAAAATGTAGGATTGGCCAAAAACAACATTGAACGACCAAATATGTCTGAGGAGGCCCTTCATGTTTGTGAGACATGCAATCCCTGCAACACGCTGTAAGATATGTAACTAAAAGGATTGGAGAATTATTACATAGGATTGTAGATATGACGGAAGTATCAATTAGAAATGACCCTATGCTACTCCGAGCCCTGGAATGGCGACGAGATATCCAGAAAACTACCTATGTAGCTAAGGATCACACAGAAGATAAACATGCTAAAAGGGGAATGGGAAAGTCATAGTTACCGAGGGAGCCTGTCACCACCTCGCAAAATCCATAGAAGTTGTGAATACATCAAAAAAGTAATCGCAAGGCTGTGCTAGAAAGAAGGAAAACCAGCCACTAAATTATCATGGGTGGGTGAGGAGGTACTCCACCGCTCCTTGAACACTGCCGCCTGCGCGACGCAGGGCTTCAATGTTTCGCTCGAACTCAAAGAATCCCATATCGTTCAACTGTCGCAACTGGTCGGCGTATCTCTCCTCCGGAGGACGGGTGTCTGCCGGCTGTGGTGGGGCTCCGAAACCACCGAGACCGCCACCTCCAAATAGAGCAGCCAGTGGGTTTGCGCCGGCGGCTCCACCTTCTGCGCCCTGTCCACCCATTCCCTGCATCATCTGGGAAAGTAATGCAGGGTCACGCAAGAATGGGTTTTGCTGAGGATTGAACGGGTTCATGCCACCCTGACCAGCTTGTCCAGCATTGCCGAACATAGCCGGGTTCAGGAGAGATGCGAAAGGGTTCTGAGGAGCTTGAGAATTTTGTCCCTCAGCAGATGTTGAACGGTCTGTAGAGTCAGCGCCTTGTGCACCACCGGGTTGAGTAGCGCCCGGGGTAGCAGAAGGCTGGGCCGCGTTTGTGAATGGGTTAGCTCCGAAGAGGGCACCGAAAGGATTTGCGTTTCCAAATGGATTTTGAGGCATCTGCCCGAAAGGGTTTGCTTGCGCATTTTGTTGCTCGGATCCTTGGGTTCCCTCGGCAGTCGTGTTTGTCACTCCTGGGGCGGGGAATGCATTATCACCACCAAGTCCGCCGCCACCCATTCCCATTGCTCGTTGCATTTGCATCATCTGCCGAATCGAGCTCGGATCGGTCAACATGCGGCGGAACTCTGGGCTTTCCATCATCTGCCGGACTCCGGGCCCCATGTCGCGAAGCATGGGATTCTGCTGGAGCATCATGTCGATCATAGCGGGGTTTTGCAGGGCTTCGTTGATGGTTGATTGGAACTGAGGATTCTCGAGCATGTTGAGCATCGACTCAGTATCTGGAGGAGGACCCATCTAAGTAGCCGAAGAATGTTAGCAGTCTGTTGGAGGCATCGCCAAATTACTTCCATGTCCAATGATATCTCACTTACCCCGCCATCAGGGCCAAAAAGACCCGCCCCAGGAAGTTGTGCAAACCCAGCATATCTTGCACCAGTCAAGCCAGCAAGTGGATTGTTGCCAGTACCAGCAGCAAGATTGGTTGGCACACCAGCTGCCGCCGGGCTTGGGGTTGCCCCAGCTGCCGCAGTGGCTGAGCTGGGTTGAGCAGTTGTGTTCTGGCGCTGCTGATTGCTTGCAGCACTCTTTACTAGATGGATAGTGTGGCCATCTTTGATCTTGTAGCTCTCCAGTGTCTCATGATCTTTCAAAACCCTGCCCGAGTAGATCAATCGCTGACGTTCTGCAGGGGTATCGGCATTTTCGGGGCTTGAGAGCTTCTGCTTGAGATCTGATACCAGAGTACTAAGAGGAAGGGTCATGGTGTATTTGGCATCAGTGGATGACTTGACAGTGAAGGTAATGGGAGCCTGCTCTGAGGTAGCCGTATCGTCGGCCATGGCTGAATGATGTATGATGTATGATGTATGTAGAGTAGGGAAGTGGGGTGATTATTGGGATATGGGCCAATGGTGAACGGTGTATCACCAAGAATATTGAGTGGCTTATCAAACGTCTGATCGAATGGATCCCTGTGATACGGATGAAGACCGCGAAACTGAGATGATATGAGAGAAAGAGGGGAGTCAGTGAACCCGTTATGCGGAGGTGATCTGCCTTGCATCAATCGGCTCGGCGTGGAAGGCGGTCGAAACATAAGTCACGTGCTGAACGCGCTAGTGGGAGCTCCCACACGGCAAGGAATATTTTCTCTTCCTCACCTCCTCGAGTCTGATCACACAGCTACACCTCTCTCTAATCGTGGCAAGTGGACTTGAGGAGTTTCTCTTTCTTAACTCCACCCAGCAGGGATGGGACTGATGTAATATTCATACCCCCCTGACTTGCAATTGCATGTACAAAGCCTCTACCTCTTCTGTGTGGTACCGGGAAACCGATACCTAGCCGCCCACCATGGCCACCACATCACACATGTTTATGTACTCCCTGACGATCCAGCCTCCAACTGCTGTCACGCAGGCCATTCTAGGTCAATTTGCAGGCACCAGGGATCAGCAGATTGTGACCTCGTCGGGATCGAAATTGACCATCCATCGCCCTGACCCGGCACAGGGCAAGATCACACCACTCTTCTCTCAGGATGTTTTCGGCATCATCCGCTCTCTCGCAGCTTTCCGCGTAGCTGGAAGCAACAAAGGTATGTCGATTTTTCTTATCACCCCTCACCTACCCCTTTACGAGTACAACTTAGTGATTCTCCAAGCTTCCCGGGCAGCGTGGTCCTCTCACGGCCTGATCCCCTGAAGGAGGGTTTGAGACCTGCCCTGGACAGCGACGTTGACACGCAATGGTTTCTCATCAACGGACAGTGCTGAGTGGTTATCATAGATTACATTATCATCGGCTCTGATTCAGGCCGTATCACGATCATTGAATATGTTCCATCCCAGAACCGCTTCAATCGCATCCACATGGAGACATTTGGAAAGTCTGGAGTTCGTCGTGTTGTGCCAGGACAATATCTCGCAGTGGATCCGAAGGGACGTGCGTGCCTGATCGCCTCTGTGGAAAAGAACAAGCTGGTCTATGTTCTCAACCGCAATTCGCAGGCGGATCTCACCATCTCCTCACCGCTGGAAGCCCACAAGCCCCAGACCTTGGTGTTTGCCATGATCTGCCTGGATGTTGGTTATGACAACCCCGTCTTCGCTGCTCTCGAGGTGGACTACTCGGAATCTGACCAGGACCCTACTGGTCAAGCGTACGAAGAAATCGAGAAGGTTTTGGTGTATTATGAACTTGACCTTGGTTTAAATCATGTTGTTCGCAAGTGGTCTGACCCTGTCGATCGCACAGCTTCCATGCTCTTCCAGGTACCAGGAGGAGATGACGGTCCTAGTGGTGTCTTGGTATGCGCGGAAGATAACATTACCTACCGCCACTCCAACCAAGGTGCGTTCCGCGTGCCCATACCGCGACGCAGCGGAGCCACCGAAAATCCCGAGCGTAAGCGTTCAATTGTCTCCGGAGTCATGCACAAGATGAGAGGTGCTTTCTTCTTCCTCCTCCAAACTGAGGATGGTGATCTGTTCAAGTTGAACCTGGAAATGGTCGAAGACAATGAGGGCAAACCCACAGGAGAAGTGAAGAGACTGACCATCAAATACTTTGATACGATTCCTGTATCAACAAACCTACTGATTCTCAAGAGCGGTTTCCTTTATGCCGCCAGTGAGTCTGGAAACCACAACTTTTACCAATTTGAAAAGCTCGGTGATGACCCTGATGAGCCCTTCTTTTCCAGCGACTCATTCTCAGCTGACCACACCGTGCCTTCCGCACCAATCTTTTTCCATCCTCGAGGGGCTGAAAATGTCAACCTCATGGAAAGCATGAACTCTCTGAGTCCTCTGATTGACAGTAAAATCCTCAATTTGAGTGAGGATGATGCACCTCAGATTTACACAATCTGTGGCTCTGGGGCCCGAAGCACACTCCGGACTTTGAAGCATGGACTTGAGGTCTCTGAGATCGTGGAGTCGGACCTTCAACAGGTGCCTTCGGCTGTATGGACAACCAAATTGTTGCGCGCCGATGAGTTCCACACATACATCATTCTTTCTTTTGCGAATGGCACCCTCGTCTTGAGTATCGGAGAAATTGTCGAGGAAGTTTCAGACACAGGATTCCTTTCTTCAGCTCCAACTCTGGCAGTGCAACAGCTTGGTGAGGACTCTTTGGTCCAAGTGCACCCCCGTGGCATTCGTCACATTCTCGCTGATCAGCGAGTGAATGAGTGGCCTGCTCCACAGCATAGGTCCATCGTTGCAGCTGCCACGAATGAACGTCAAGTTGCCGTGGCCCTCAGCTCCGGTGAAATTGTCTATTTCGAGATGGACGCAGATGGGACATTGGCTGAGTATGACGAGCGACGACAGATGTCTGGTACCGTGACCTCCCTGAGTATGGGAGAGGTCCCCGAGGGCCGCATGCGAAGCTCATTCCTGGCTGTTGGATGTGATGACTCTACCGTCCGTATTCTCAGCTTGGACCCAGACTCAACACTCGAGAACAAATCTGTTCAAGCGTTGACGTCTGCGCCGTCTGCCCTGCAAATAATGGCCATGGCCGACTCGAGCTCGGGAGGCACAACTCTTTACCTTCACATTGGTCTTTACTCCGGTGTCTATCTCCGTACCGTTTTGGACGAGGTGACAGGTGAGCTTTCGGATACCAGAACTCGCTTCATCGGCGCCAAGCCTGTGAAACTTTCCCAGGTGTCGGTCAAGGGTCAAACAGCTGTCCTGGCGCTAAGTGCTCGTCCCTGGCTGGGATACTCCGACGTTCAAACCAAGACCTTTATGCTCACACCCTTGGATTATGTCGGACTAGAATGGGGATGGAATTTCTCCAGTGAACAGTGTGTGGAGGGCATGATCGGCATTCAAGGCCGCAGTTTACGGTATGTGGTTCACCCATGATTAACATCCTCCCAATCCTCGCCCCTGATCCTGTGATGAGAAAATCAATCCGAACTTTTATGTGGATGAAACTTTAAAAGAAAAATTCCAATTGTTCCTTCTGAGATCAACCCTCTCTCATACCATGTTGAAATTCCAAATTACTCTGGACTGGTACTGACTGAAAATAGGATTTTCACCGTTGAGAAATTGGACAACAACATGCTTCAAGAGTCCATTCCTCTCTCTTACACACCCCGACGCTTTGTGAAGCATCCCGAGCAACCCCTTTTCTACGTCATTGAATCTGACAATAATGTTCTTTCTCCTGCCACCCGCCAGAGACTGATTGATGATGCACAAGGTCAGAATGGCGAGGCCACAGACCTTCCGCCTGCAGACTTCGGATATCCGCGAGGCACTGGCCACTGGGCTTCCTGTGTTCAGGTCGTGGACCCGATCACCACCAAGTCTGTGATCTCCACTCTTGAGCTTGAGGACAATGAGGCAGCAGTCAGCCTTGCCGCGGTGTCGTTTTCTAGCCAGGATGACGAAACTTTCTTAGTTGTGGGAACCGCCAAGGATATGACAGTCAGCCCTCCCTCGGCCTCCTGTGGCTTCATCCATATCTATCGATTCCAGGAGGATGGCCGGGAGTTGGAGTTTATTCACAAAACCCAGGTTGATGAACCTCCTCTCGCTCTTCTTGGATTCCAGGGCCGTCTTCTAGCAGGCATCGGTCCTGTCCTTCGTGTGTACGACCTTGGTATGAAGCAACTACTGCGGAAATGTCAAGCACCTGTGGTCCCCAAGACCATTGTGGGTCTTCAGACACAAGGAAGCCGAATCATTGTTAGTGACGTCCGCGAGAGTGTCACCTACGTTGTCTACAAGTACCAGGACAATGTCTTGATTCCCTTCGCAGACGATTCTATCGCACGGTGGACATCGTGTACAACCATGGTTGATTACGAAACAACTGCTGGTGGTGACAAGTTTGGAAACCTGTGGCTGGTCCGTTGCCCTAGCAAGATCTCCGAGCAAGCCGACGAGGATGGATCTGGGGCACATCTCATTCATGAAAAGGGTTACCTCCATGGTACCCCCCACCGTCTCGAGCTGATGGTTCACTTCTACGCTCAAGATATTCCCACCAGTGTGCATAAGACCCAATTGGTTGCCGGAGGCCGTGACATTGTTGTCTGGACTGGCTTCCAAGGCACCATTGGAATGTTTGTTCCCTTTGCCAGCCGTGAGGATGTCGACTTCTTCCAGCTTTTGGAGACACAACTGGCTTCCCAGCAGCCCCCTCTGGCTGGACGAGACCATTTGATGTACCGCGGCTATTATGCCCCTGTGAAGGGCGTCATTGATGGAGATCTCTGCGAGATGTATCTCCTGCTGCCTAATGATACCAAGATGATGATTGCAGCGGAACTCGATCGATCTGTTCGTGAGATCGAGCGGAAGATTTCGGTAAGTTTGTAAATGTGCACGAGTATCTAGGTCCTTTTACTAACATCTCTCAGGATATGCGAACAAGGGTGGCGTATTGATTTCGGGTTGGTTGTGGCGTCTGCTGGCGTTCTTTGCCCTATACACGGGCTTCATATACCTACCTCTTTATTAATGGATGATGATTGTGCGGTCTTGAACCGCGACTAATTTTCGACTGAAGCTAATCCCCTCGGTGTTCCTCACATACACCTCCCCTTCCCGTTGGCTATCTTTGGCCTCGTAGACTCTTTCCTGATGTCTCTTGCCTCGCTCGGTCTGCCGTTTCCCCTCGGCTAATCTTGAGCTGGATGCAACCGGTCACTTTTAGTGCTGGTTGTATGAGACAAGAAGAAGCGTGAAAACGCCTCGACGATCTTTGAGTACGATTTGATCCGAAATGCACCACGGGTCTACGTCGTAATTTATCAGTTGGGACAACTCTGTTATTCTTTTATAGTCTTTTGAATGAAAAACAACCTTGT